CAAACTTGACCACTATGCCAGTGGGCCAGCCCCCACAGTGATCCTATGAACATTCTTTTTTTTTTTTTAAAAGATTGGCATCTGGGCTAACATCTCTTACCAATCTGCTTTTTTTTTCTTCTTCTTCTTCTTCTCCCCAAAGCCCCCCAGTACACAGTTGTAATATCATAGTTGTAGGTCCTTCTAGCTGTGCTGTGTGGGACGCCGCCTCAGCATGGCCTGATGAGCAGTGCTAGGTCCACACCCAGGATCCAAACCGGCAAAACCCTGGGCCACTGAAGCCAAGCACATGAACCTAACCACTTGGCCACAGGGCCGGCTTCTAGACATTCTTATATGCGTCTCTATGTGTGTGTGTCTAAGTTTCTCCGGAAGGTAATCGCTGGGTTGGAGACTGCATCATCTTCAAGTATCCTACAACCCACCAAACTGCTTTCCAGAATGGTTGGTACCAACTTAGATTCCAACAGCAGTGCACATACTCCCAGAACTCCAAATCTTCCCCAACACTTGAGACTAAATACTTTGCCACTCCACTGGGCACAAAACAGTCTTATTCTATGTATCCTTTTTTTGGGGGGGTGGCGGGGAGATTAGCCCTGAGCTAACATCTGCTGCCAATCCTCCTCTTTTTGCTGAGGAAGATTGGCCCTGAGCTAACATCTGTGTCCATCTTCCTCCACTTTATATGTGGGACGCCTACCACAGCATGGCTTGATAAGTGGTGCCATGTCTGCACCCGGGATGCAAACCAGTGAACCCCGGGCCACTGAAGCAGAGCGCATGAACTTAGCTGCTGTGCCACCAGGCTGACCCCTCTATACATCCTTTTGTACCCTTGAATTTTGTACTGTTTGCATGAATTAATTCAAAATAAACATTTAAATGTAGGCTAATAAAGTATTGCTTTTCTGTTTTAAACACACTTTATATATTGGGGCTCCATATTACAATCGCATTTTTTAAAAAGGAGGTGTTGCCCCAGTAGCAACAAGCATATCTCGTGCCTAGATCTGGTTTCTTTTCTTCTCTTCTCTTTTGGTGAAGAAGATTGGCCCTAAGCTAACATCTACTGCCAATCTCCCTCTTTTTGCTTGAGGAAGATTAGCCCTGAGCCAACCTCTATGCCAATCTTCCTCTATTTTTGTATGTGGGACACCACCATAGCATGGCTTGACAAGTGGTGTATAGGTCCGTGCCCAGAATCCGAACCTCTGACCCCCAGGCCGCCAAAGCAGAGCGCGTGAACTTAACCACTACATCACCAGGCCAGCCCCTAGCTCTGGTCTCTAACGTCATTCTACAGTAAAAGGAACCAGGGTCGGGGGGAATGGTGGACTCTGAGACCAGGGCAGGCTGGGCACGAGATGCACCTGGAGGATCCGTTTCGCCGCAAAGTGAGGGAATGTCAAAAAACAAACAAACAAAACCACCACACAGCGATGGGAGCCTGTCAAAGGACACAGGAGCCCACTGAAAGAGCTCCCAATGGCCACAGCGGAACAAGGCGAATGACAAAATGAAGCAGTATTGATTATAACCCAAAGCATAAAATAAATAGCCTTCAGTCTGCCCTGATAAAAATAAATGATGGAATAAGTTAATAAATAGAAAAGACACATCTCCCTCCCAAAAGAATTCCAGCTAATTCTGTCAGTTCTTTGCCCTCAAGGAGACGGAGCGCAAGCCCATCATCCTCAGGTGCGGGCTGTGCAGTGACTTCCGTTCAGAGTCCAGTACGGAAGGGAGACAGAAGAGTCACTTTACCGTGGAGAAACCCAGCGAATAGTACGGGATCAAGCCGGGTGATGGAGGCTGACAGACACGGTGACACATTAGGTGACGGCATGTCCCCTAGAGAGGACGTGATCCAATCTGAGCTCTTCCTCTGAGACACCCTAGTCCCGTTGTGAGAACATCAGACAAACCCCAGCCGAGCGACATCCTGTGATGTCCCCGACTAATATTCTTCCAAACTGTCATGGTCATCAAAAAGGAGTCTGAGAGACTGCCCCAGCCAAGAGGAGCCCAAGGAGATACGATGGCATTTGTCAACATTAATGTTTGACAACATAAATGCAATATGGTAAGCTGGGACAGAAAAAGATATTAAAACTAAGGAAATCTGAGGAACTGTGGACTTTAGTTAATACGGAAGTATCAATGTTGGTTCATTAATTGTAACAAATGTATCGTACTAATGTAAGGCGTTCATAATAGGGGAAACTGGATATTGGAACTCTGTACTGACTGTATGTCTCAATTTTTCTGTACATCTAAAACTTCTAGAAAATAAAGTCTGTTACTGGAAAAAAAAAAAAAAGAGGAAGTGTTGCCTTCTTGAAGTGTGCGAAGGCCTGGTTTGAAGTTTATGAAGCAGGTAAAGTTAAGGCAGTGAACGCCAGGCCCTCAAAGGTGGGTCTATGGGAGCAGCGCTCACCAAACTAAGTCAGCCCAGAGCCCCAGAGGAGGGCAAGGAGGGCCACCGTCGCTGCGGCCCCACTCCTGGCAGCAGGCTCAGACACTGGAGGAAGGGGCGCTGGTGCTGGCCTGGACCCTGGCGGCCTGCCGCGGCAGCTGCAAGTTCCCCTCTTCCCTCTGCACCCACTGGTGTGAGCCAGCAGAGGCGGTGACTTCGTCCCCAGAACCACGCAGCTGGGCCGGCTCCGCTCCGGCTCTGAGATTTCCCGGGAGCACTGGGCTCGCTGCCCCGCCCTTCCGCATCGGCTTGTGGGATGAGCATCAGAAGTCCCTGACTCGTGGTGTTGCCCTCACCCTGAGGACTCCACAAGTCCCTCGACATAGCAAAGCCCATCTTTAGTCCTTCCCGGCACCCATGTGGTGCTCAGTGTTAGCTCTTCATGTCCCCCAACCCGCTTCCTCCAGCAGTCTCTGATGAGAAGGCCCGCTGCTCGTCATTCCTTTCCAGAGTGGGGTGATGAACATATAAATAAGTCATCTGAAGGATGCCAGTCATCTCGGGGCAGCCTGGTTCAGATTGCTGTTGACCCTCTATCGGTATTTGCACTGAAGTGATATGCTTGGAATTCTTCAAATCTACCCCTGAACTGGCCCCACACGTGAACCAGGTCACCCATGGCAGCACTGCTTGTGACAGCGAGACCGGGAGGCACCTGGATCCCCATCCAAAAACGACTGGGTGTAAATGAGGCCGTGTGTGTGCGTACTGCCTGTTCCTCCGCTTGCACGTATATATGGATGTGTGTGTACGCGCGTGCATGTATACAAGCACACACACACAAACACATCTCTGGAAGGATTACTCAAGACACTGCTAACACTGGTGGCCTCTGAGGAGGGCACTGGGGAGCGAGGAGGCTCTGGAAGTTTCCACTGTAAAGCCTTTTGTATCTTTTGCATTTTGAACCACATGTGCATATTATTTATGCTGAAAATGTTTAATAGAGGGGCTGGCCCCGTGGCCAAGTGGTTAAGTTCACATGCTCCACTTTGGCATCCTAGGGTTCGCTGGTTCAGATCCTGGGCACGGACCTATGCCCTGCTCATCAAGCCATGCTGTGGCAGCGTCCCACACAGAAGAACTATAATGACCTACAACTACGATATACAACTATGTACTGGGGCTTTGGGGAGGAAAAAAAAAAGGAAGATTGGCAACAAATGTTAGCTCAGGGCCAATCTTCCTCACCAAAAATTATACTCAAAAAAATATATATCTATATTATTTTTTTTTTTTTGAGGAAGATTAGCCCTGAGCTAACTGCTGCCAATCCTCCTCTTTTTGCTGAGGAAGACCGGTCCTAAGCAAACATCCGTGCCCATCCTCCTCTACTTTCTATGTGGGATGCCTACCACAGCATGGCTTGACAAGCAGTGCTATATCTGCGCCCAGCATCCGAACCGGTGAACCCTGGGGCCGCTGAAGCAGAACGTGTGCACTTAACCGCTGTACCACCAGGCTGGCCCCTCAAAAAAAAAAAATGTTTAATAGAACCAGAGGAAAAATAATGCACCCCTGTTGGTCACAGCTGTTGGGGGTGGTTTGGGGGAATCACCAAATCCAGTGAGGCAGAGGAGTGTCCGGCTCCGGTCCGTCTGGCAGACGGTGGCAGGACGGGGCGGACTCTCAAGGCCCATGGCATCCCAGAGCTGCAGACACTTCCTCGGGCAAGTTGATGGCAGCGAGGGGAACGCGGACACATGGACAACTTTAGAAAATCCAAACCCACTGTCCTAGGCCCCCGCCCTGCCCTTTCCAAAAGGGCCCCATTTCAAATCTGCAATTGAGCAGCACGGGGCAGGGGTTCAGGGACCAGGACCCTGGTGGGCTCCCTGCCCTCAGACCCAGGCGGCCGCGTGCCAGCTGGGCGAGGCCTGGGGCACCTTCCTCCCGTCTCAGCCTCTGTAAAGAGCAAGAGTACGACTTACCTCATGCAGGTAAGCCTTTCACAGTAAGAGAGCAATATGGGTTTTTCTATCATTGTAGTTCCTATCAAGAAATTACCCCATGCTCTTAAATTTAGGAACTGGAACTCTTCCAGTGAATCCTGGCAGTTGCTAAAATTATCCACAAAGCGGAACCAGAGGCAATTAGGGGAGACAAAAAAAAAAAAAAAATAGCAGAAGATCAGCAAGGAAAGTGCCTATGTGCGTGAGCGCCTCCTTGTGGCGCTGACATGAAGGAGCAGCCTCTGGAATCGTGACATTGCCATCACTTGCTGTTCTTCTGAGGTCCAACCTCAACCAGTCCCCGGAGGGTCTAGCCTGGGCCCTCACCAGGAGAGGGCTCGCGGTGGCTACGCTCTCTCCACTGTCCGTCACACTGAAGTCCAGCCCCTCCCACCCCAGGCCCAGTGCTCAGGATACTGCCTGACACACAGTAGCCTCCCAATGGGACATTATTGAAAAACTAAAAATAAATGACCAGTCCGGGAAGACGAAAACAGGTCTGGAGATGGCTGGTGATGGCTCTGCAACAATGCGGGTGTAACTTCATGCCACTGACCAGTACACTTCAAAACGGTTAAAATGGTAACTTTTATGTTATGTACATTTTACTACAATAAAATTAAAAGGATGAGGTCTAATCTCATCTTCACCTGCTTTAACTTTCCCTCCAAACCCCCCTGACCACTCCTGGTAATCTCATCAGATCCTGTTCTCTGAAAGGGAAAAGGGCCCCCAATTTCCCTCTGGGTCCTCTCCTCTCTCTGCTCCTTTCCAGCGGGTGTGGCCAGGCCTTGGCTCTGAACACACCTGAGCACACCCGCTGCTGCTGCTGCCGCCCTCCAGCCCAGGTGGCCCCGAGCCCAGTGGCCTGCTTACCTCTCAGTCAACCTGGTGAGAGCCGACGCCCTCCTGCCCCGCCCACTCCTCACTCCCTGCCTCCCATCTCCACAAACGGCACCTTCCTCTAGATGCCCAAGGTGCCCAGGTGGGTGTGATCCGAGATTCCCACTCACCCCTCGCCCCACTTCCAACCCATCAGCTCAGCCTGCTCCTCCTCTGCACACCTAGGCCCACCCACTTCTCTCCTCTGGGCCGCCACCACCTCCCTGTGCACCTGGGATTTCGTTTCTTGCCCAGGCGACGGCAGCAGCTGCCTCCCCGCTCCCACCCCTGCCCTGCCCACAGTTTATCCTCCTCACAGCGGCCAAAGCCCTCTTCATCAAAGGCCCCTCAGATCATCCTTGCCTGCTCCAAATGCTCCCCAGCCCCTCGAGCTCCCAGGACGGTATCTGAATTCCCCACCCTGGATCACACAGCCCCAGGTCATCTGGTTCCTGCCCACCAGCCCCGACCTGCGCTGGATGGCAGGCCCCTCCTTTGCTCGCCAGCCACCATGGCCTCCCTCTGTGGTCCTTGTCCCGCCTCGGGGCCTTTGCCTGGCTGTTTCCTCTGGCTGATGCTCTCTTCCCGAACTTCCCTGAGTCACTTCTTTCCATCCCCAGCTCAGCCCACATGTCACCTCCTCTGAAAGGCCTCTTACCCCCAACATCGAAAGAGGCCCTGGTCACTCTCGCCCATCCCTCGGATTCTCTGGACAGCGTGATCACCGTACGCCCGCGGGCCGGGGCTCGGCCGCCCTGCTCACGGGGGGAGCCCCAGCTCCTAGAACAGGCCTGGCACGGGGCAGAGGCTGCATGGCAGAGAGAAGGCGAATGACCAAGGCCACAGGAACGCACGGCCTCACAGACGGAGCCTGCCGTTTGGAAGGCAGCCGCCAAGCAGAGCGGCAGGAACCGGGGAAATCCACAGGGGAGGGGGGAGGGCAGGGACAGATCCGCCAGGTCGCTGAGGGGAGGAGGAGGCCCACCCGAAGAGTGACTGTGACCATCACTCCTTTGACCCGGGGCCTGCCGAGAGGACATGGCCCACGTGTGTGCGGGAAGCCTGACCTCTAGACACAGCCCGGCCCCCACTGGCACCCCCACCCGCATCGTGCTGGGTGTGAAAAACAATCCTGTGACTCACCCTGAAGGAGGGGAGGGAAACAGTCGGAAAGTCACAAAAATATATTAAAACAGCCGTTCTCTTCTCTTCCAGCACTGGCCTCCCTCCCCAGTGCCCCTTGCCCACCCCCTGCCACAGACTTTCAGAGAAAAAGATGCCGGGGCAGGAAAATGGAGGTGCCCCTGCTGCAGCCCAGGGCGTGGGGCGGTCCCTTCAGCCTGGGAGTGAGGGCGGCTAACAGTCTCAACAGGCTCGACGCCACCGTCGACGCGGGGCCCGCGGGGAGGCCGGCAGTGCTGGAGGGTCAGGCAGGACGCAGCGCACAGTCGGGCCTTGCCACGGGGACAGAAAACAGAAGAGAAATGAACAGAGTGAAGAGAGGGAGAGACAGAGAAGTAAAGTGTGTGTGGGGGGGGGGGCGGAGGAGTAGGGGAGGGGTGGGAAGTCAGCAGTGGGGGGAGGCGGGCGGGATGGGAAGCCCCTCCAGGGGACACCCACTCTGGGGGACCGGGAGGCGAAGAGCCAGGGGGGATGAGGGCAGCAGCTGCTGCTGAGAGGGAGGAAGTGGGGCAGGAGGGAAGAGGACACTGGGCACGGGGAGGGGTGGAGAGGGGTCCTGCCAAGGCCGCAGTCAGAGGAGAGAACTAGGACACGACAGTAGGCAGCGCCCCAGAGCGGCAAGGCCAGGCCACAACGACCGTCTCAGACTCGGAAGAACGGGGTGAACCCCCAGAAAGCTCGGCCCGGCTCGAACGCCTGAGGGAGACAAGCAGTGTCGTCCAGAAGCCGGCAGCAGGGCGGGCGCGCCCTCGAGGAAGCCTCTGCCTGGAGGGGCCTGCGCCCAGCCGGGGCTAGGTCCTGCGGCCCAGTCTTTTGAACACACTCACGGTGCCCGCATGGTCCATCTGGGCACCAAGGCCCTCGCTGGAGCTGCTCCCCCGGGGCCCCACCAGGGTCCTCTTAATGGTGACTTTGACCTCAGTCGAAGACTTACTCTTGGTGCTCGTGACCTGGCTGTCCTGGGCCTCGGGCACGAGGGCCGCCTTGCCCAGTCTCTGGATGATGCTGACTTTGGACAGGGACTCCGGCTTCCTCTCGAGCCCGGGGCGTGAGGCGAGGGCCAGGCGCCGCAGCGTTGGGGCAGCAGCCGTGGGCGCCGAGCTCGTGGCCTTGGCTTTGACAGTCAGCGCCGGCTGCGCACTGGCCTTGGCTGGGCCCCGGCCTAGCTTCTTCAGGACCCCGGCATACTGCAGGACGGAGCTGCTACTGCTGTCGTTGTCACTGTCCCAAGCCAGATCCTCATCCATCTCTGGGGTGGCCCCCAGGCGGCTGAAGACTCCTGTGGGCTGTGGAGGTCAGAGACAGGACAAAAGAGTCATTTTCATTCAGTCACTCAACACGCCTTCACAGACAGCTGCGTCATCTGTGCCTGGCCTCATGGGGCTCGCAGTTGGGAGAAACACACCTTGGTGACACTCCAGATAGTGGTTAGAGCCATGGCAGGGGCAGTCCAGGGAGCTGGGGAGCTCAGAGGAGGCTCCTGACCTCGCCCAAAGTCCAGGGCAGGCTCCCTGGAGAAGGGCCATCTGAGCCGAGATCTGGAAGCTGACTGGCAGTGGGTCTAATAATGACGGGGAGGAGGGGGTGAGCCATGCAGAGCGAAGACCATTTGCAAAGGTCTACAGATGAATATGCGAGAAAAGACGAATCTGGTCATTTACTCAACAGATACTTTCTAAGTCCCGACTCTATACCTGACCCTGGGCTGGGTGGTGCTGGGGACAGAGTGGTGACCAGGACAGACCTGTGCTGTCCTCACAGTCCAGTGAGGAAGACAGACCTGGCATCGGAAATGACACAAGTACTTCTGTAATTACGAGAGCAGCGCATTCTCTAGAGGGAGCTGGAGCGGGAGGGCAGCCGTGCCTCCTCGCCAAGGTCAGGGGAGCGTCTCTGAGGCACCATGTGCAAGTCAGGCCCTCAGGATGAGCCGGCAGAGAAGAGAGTGCAGGCTAAGTCACCAAGGCAGGGATGACAGTCACATTCACAGGGCACTCGCTATGTGCCAAGCTCTCTAGACAGCTGCCCCTTCGAGCCGCCTGATCCTGAGTGTTATGATCACGCTCACAGTAAGATTCTAGGAGGGGGAAAAGGCCAGAGCGGGCGAGCCTGGCGAGCGAGGGGCTGGGAGGTGGGACATACAGCAGGGGAGCTCGCCACAGTGAATCAAGGGGACACCGAGAGAGTGCCTACCACCCACCGGATGCCCCCAGCGCTGTGCGAGTCTATCCACTTGATCCTCATGACCACCTATGAGGTGGGGACTACACAGATGAGGAAACTGAGGGACAAAGGGCTTAAGTGACATGGCCAAGGTCACACAGCCAGGTGGTGGCAGAGCAGGATTCACACGGGGCTGCGGACTCAGGCTGCAGCTGTACCTGGGCCTGCGGGAGGCCACAGCCAGAGGGACGGGCTTCATCCTGAGCCCAGGGAAAGCCTCGGAAGGACTTCGGGGGCGGGAGTGGGTGGCTGTCCTGTGGGCGGCACACGCTGCCACTGTGGGAGAGGGCCAAGGCAGCCGCACAGGGACTTGTCAGGAGGCCACTGCACTAGCGGACAGGGAGAGGCGGCAGAGCGGTGCAGACAGATGGCGCCATCAGACCCGTGACTGCCGGGAAGCGGGGGGGGGGGGGGGGGGGGGGGGGAGGAGCACCCCTGAGACAGGGCCAGGAGGGGAGTCACCTCGAGAGAAGATGCCGAGAGAGTTTTGGGACACAGTAGAGGGAAGGGTCTAAGGGCAGCGTACCCTTACAGCTGGAAACTGGGAGAGGTGGGCGCAGTAGGAGGCCAGGGAAGCCACCCATGCAAAGAAGGGATGTCAGGCTGGAAAGGGGTATGTGAGGGGTGAGAGGTGGGAAGCGACAGGAGTGGCGCCCAGGGAGACAAGAGCCAAGGGCCCCGAGGAGCCCCCCACTGCCAACTCACTTTATTCCCCGTCGTCGTGTCGGCCTTGGTCTCAGCGCCGAGGCGGTCAAACACAGACGTCCTGTGAACACCTAGGAGGGAAGTACGGCCATCAGCCAGCTCTGCTGAGGGCCCCTGGGGGCCCAGCCTGGCCAGCACCGTGCAGACAAGGGCGGGGACCCCCGGCAGCCCTCGTTCAGGCGGCCACAGACCAGGCCCCATGTGGTTTTACATCTTTGCCGTTGGCTCACGTTGATCTTAACCTACGCACTCCAGCTAGTGCTAAACGTGGGAAAGATGAACTCAAACGGATGCGCACTCCTTGCACCGTACTACAGTTCATGAAGTGCGTGTGCGAGAAGAGTTCTTAATCCCTGCTCGTCCCTTCCACTCTTTTGGGGTCATGGACGTCAGAGGGAATCTGATGAACGGTAACGAGTCCTCTCCCTAAGGAACAAACTGAACAGCCACCAACAGGAGGATGCTTACTAAATGACAGCTTACGAATACGATGGAAACACCAACCCCTCATTACCAAGAAGAGGTAGCTGTACATGCGCTAATGTGAAAAGAGCTCAATTAAAAAGCTGTAGAACAAGACCTACGAGATGATGCTATTTGTGTTTAAAAAGAAAAAAACCACCCATCCCTGTGTATACATACGTACAGCTGCACGTAAGCTCATGGATGCTGGTCTGGAAAGGTTAACAGGAGGCGTGGGCTATGGGAGTGAGGGGGAGAGTTTCTTTTTACAGTATATGCTTCCGCATCCTATCTGAATGTCTTTCCACGAGAACATACACAATATTCTAAAAGGCTTCCTATGAGGAAGACCAGCTCCACACGACCAGACACAAACCCCAGCTGTGCCCTGACGCTCAGCCGCATCTCTCTGGCCCAGAATGACAGCTCCCGCTTTTTTGGGGACCTGCCCTCAGCCAGGCACAGTCACCCACTTCCCAGGCTGGCATCAGCGCATCCAGGCCCCTGCCCCTCGGGCAAGAGGCATCAGCTACACTAACTGCAGGACAAGAGGGCAGAGTGGGTGACTGGCCCCTCCCCTACGGCCACCACCGCTGTCCCCTTGGTCCAAGCACCCCCAGAGTCCCTTAGAGCCTGCGTCTCAGCCAACGCCTGTAGGACCAGCCCTGCCCGAGGCAGCAGAGGGAAAGGCGGCGGCGCCCTGCATGCCCCTGCAGGCCGTACCTTTCGCTGCCTGCTGCTGCTCCAGGATCTTGCGGGTCCGGGGCGTGGTGCCTTTGGGCATGTTGATGATGTATTTCCCCTCCATCTCGGCAGTGACCCGACGCCGCTTGGTGGGAACGGCCAGGCTCTCCTCCTCCCGGCGGGCCAGGGCAGCTGGGGAAGGGGGGCAGCGGTGAGCACCTTCTGGGGTGGAATGTTCTCTGGGGATGGGGGCTGGACGCCCTGCAAAGGCCACACGTGTGCCCTTCATCTCTATGCCCTTGCACGACTGGAATCCCCTATCTTCCCCACCACCCTCTTCACCACTGACTCTGAACCGAGAAAGGCAGAGGTCTGGGCAAGCTGGCTGCACAGACACTCAGAATCCCCAGGCGGGAGCGGGCCACCCAGGTTCTCTGTGGCTCCGTCCCTGCCCCGAGCAGGCTCCCCTCCCAGCCCAGCCGGAGTGCCCTCAGATGCTGGGTGGGGGAGAGCTCCATCTAGGCAGTGGTTTCACAGGCCTGCTCACTTAAAAATCACTCAAGCTCTACACTTATTTGTGTATAAACAAAGCATACTTGCATTTTTAAAAAAAGAACCCCTTCAAACATGTCGAGGGGTAACAGTGCCAGTTCCCCACAGGCCCACCATTTTTTTAATACTTTGGAAATTAATTTGAACTTTCTTGCTCGTGGCACACAAATCAAAAGGCCAGAGGGGGTGAGGCACTGTCAAACACACACAGCAAAAAGAGGAGTGTGTGATGGAGGCGGTCAGGGCGCGATGGGGCTGGGCACCAGAATAAACGAAGCCCATGCCTGGGCCTCAGTTTCCACTTGTGCTAAGATCATTGTTGTGGGGATGGGTCCAACAAAGGCCGGAGAGTGTGGTGGATAGAGGGAGGGCTCGGAAGCCCGAGGCCGGAGTCGCATGCCCAGCTTTCAAGGAGACTGAGGAGAGGAACCGAGGCCCAGCATGGAAACATCTGCAGAGGAAGAGCGCTCCAGGAGAAGGGGACATCGGGGCAAAGGCCCCAAGATGGGAAGGGGCCCGGAAGGGATCTGAGCCAGCAAGGGGGAGATACACAAGAGGAATCCACACTACACAGGGCCCTGTAAGGCCACATGGGAAGACTGGACTCCATGACCGGAACAATGGGAAGCCCCGGAGAGTTCTAGAGAAGGGTGTGAAAGGCTCAGATAGAATGTTCTGAAGGATCCCTCCGGCTGCTGAGAGGAAACAGTAGCTTCTTTACCTTTGACCCCAGGCATCAAGCACAGGGCTGGGCACCAGTGCGGGGCTCAGTGAACATCTGTTAAAAAAAGACTGAACCACCCATAGTCAACAACACTGTACTGTACGTGTCAAACTTCGTTAGGAGGGTAGACCTCACGTTAAGTGTTCTTACCACAATAAATCAAACGGAAAATCAAAACACTGAAGCGACCACTGAGTGAGAACCACGGTGCACCGTGTTCAAACACACCGCCTCGAGCGCCTCCACGGTCCTCTGTGGAGGCTGTCCCAGCCCCATTCCACAGACGTGGAGGGCGAGGCCCACAGAGGTGCAGCGACTTGACCAGGCCCGAACACTCTGGATGCCAATGGCCGTCAAAGCACCTTGCAATGTTGGCAACACGACCCCCAGTACTGCCTGCCAACCCACATTCACCTCCAGCTCCCCTGCCACCTGCCCGAGCGCCCTCACCGGCAGCCTTGGCACTCTTTGCTGCCATCTTGTTGGACACGGTGACGGAGATCTTGGAGGTGCCGGTGTCTGGCCGCCTGGGGGGAGTGCCGGGTGGGGAGTCACGGTTCAGGCTGTTGGCGATCATTCGGGAGGCGGCTGTGGGAGGAAAGAGGAGCGTCTGGTTGGGCGGGCCCTGGGAAAGAGGCCAGGATGGAGGTGGCAAGCCTGGGGACTGAATGGGGAAGGGGTGGCCGGAGGCACCCTGTGGCTGCACTGTCCTCGTGGGGGGATGCTTGGGAGTGGGGCGACGGGAACTAGCCCACCCCTCCTGCCTGGCAGCCTTTCCTGAGGCCCCAGACCAGACTGGTTCCCCTGACACTTCACCCATCCCTGAGCTCATCCCTCCTCTCCATTGCAGCTCAGTCGCCGTCCCAGGATCTTCCTCGCTCAGAAGCGTGCGCCTCCTCAGGGCACTTGCTGTTCCCACAGCCCGGCATGCAGTTCCCCGAGTCTCGGGGGGTTCGCTCTGACTCTTTACTCAGGTCCCCTCTCAGGCGGCGCCTCCTCTGGGAAGGCTCCCCGGACCACCCACCCCCCTCTACCGCCCTCCCCCGCACCAGGCTTTCTTTTCTTCAAGCCCTGAGCGCTGCTTGACGTGAAATTACATCTATCTGTCTATTGGTGGTCTCTCCCACCAGCACACGAGCCCCGTGATGAGACACTGTTTCCTGCTGTATCCCCAGTGCCCAAAACGATGTCTAATGCTTCATGGGTCCTCAGGAAACACCTCCTGAAAGAAGGAACGTCGCCACCAAACCTCCCAGCACCTCTGTAGACAGGATACACCGCAAACCAGCTCTACAGATGAGGCACTGTGTCTCGGGGAGCGGCTCACTCAGCCAGGCCCCTGGGCAGTGCAGGTCCGGCTCCAGCTGGGCTGGGCACGGAAAGCAGTGGCCTCCTCTGGGGATGGGGGCAGTGTCTGGGGGCCCCTGTCTTCAGTGGAGAGGGAGGCGGGCTGTCCCAGGGTGCGAGGTGGGAGCTATAGCACACAGACTGGGGGGCCAATGCCATTGTGGGAAAGTGACAGGTCTTGTCTCAGGGTGCAGCTGCTGCTAGCCTGAGCACACGGCTTTCAAGAGCTCTTGGGGGGCCGGCCCTGTGGCCTAGTGGTTAAGTTCAGCACACTCTGCTTCGGCGGCCCAGGTTCAGTTCCTGGGCACAGACCTACACCACTCACTGGCGGCCATGCAGTGGCGGTGACCCACATACAAAATAGAGGAAGACAGGCAAAGATGTTAGCTCAAGGCCAATCTTCCTTAGCAAAAAAAGGCCAGCTCTCAGGGAAGCCCTGTGGGGAAAGAAGGGGGGAATCTTCATGCTACCACTGCTTGCTGGACAGGCCTGGTAGCCCCCTCCAATGGCTTTCAGGTTTTGGTATTTTGTCCTACCTACCCCCCTAAGAAGTCTCTTTTCCTGCTATGTGCTCCCTCTCAAAGCCTCCTGAAGTGCCCATAATGACCATCAACACATTATAATTACATATTGCCTTTTTAAAAAAATTCTAACTATAACATACAGGAAAATACATCAAGCCCATACAGACCACTTAACAAAAGGTGAGCTCCCACACACCCATGGCCCTGCGGGGCCCTCCCAATCAGACCTGCTCCCCTCCCCCAGGACAGACAGGGGGAGTTTTCAGCCCTGCTCCCTCCCTGGTAACAATCGGCTATATACCCTTCCACAGTTTCGCCAAGACGTTTCCTCAGACCCTTCTCAAGCTGGAGAGGTGGCTTCCTTGCGAGCGGCTGTGCAGACTCTGACGGGGAGAGTCACTCGCGGCCCTCTCTGACCGGCCGGGCCATAGACGGGGCCGTCCTGCTGCCAGAGGTATGTGGCTGAGGGCCCCGCTCTCGCAGAGCACACGGAGGGAACCGTCTTGCTCAAACGGGCTCCGGGGTAGGATGCTTTATCACGGCGCGTGAGCACCATTTGAGGGAGGGAAACCCCCCTGCCTGGGCTCTACAGAAGCTGAGCCACAGCCAGGATGTGAGGGGAGAAAAGACTGCTCTGTTTCCCCAAGAGGACACATGTATCCCGTGTCATAAAGCGTACACCAGCGGCCACCTCAGGAAAGTGATTCTGGGCACTCTTCCCCTCCTTTCCTTCCTCACCTGCTTCTCCTTCTCTTCTCAATTGCCGACTTTCTCCACTAGGGTTTATGTTTGCTACTTTTCATTTTTCAGACTTATTTTAAACTATGGAAGGCATTCAGAATGGCATGAAAAGTACCTACTGTGTGATTTCATTTACATAGACTTGAGACTCTTTTTTTTTTTTTTTTTTTTTGCTGAGGAAGATTGGCTGTAAGCTAACATCTGTGCCCATCCTCCTCCTCTATTTTATATGTGGGACACCACCACAGCATGGCTTGATAAGTGGTGCATACGTCCCTGCCTGGGATCTGAACTGGCAAACCCCAGGCCACCAAAGCGGAGCACATGAACTTAACCACTACACCAGCAGGCTGGCTTCTACACAGACTTGAAAGACTGGCCAAACTAATCCATGTTGGTAGAAATCAGGGTAGTGGGTATCCTCGAGGGGGCAGTGACACTGGTCATGTTCCTGTTTCTGGGTTTGGGTGCTGCTGGCTATGTGGGTGTCCCTTTGTGAAAGTCATTTGGATGTACTGTTATGATCTAAACCCTTTGCTGCATGTAAACTGTGGGAGACTGATGCAGAAAGGAACCCCAATTTGTTGAGCCTCCCTCGAGTCGGCCCTGCCCACACTGATTCTGGGCCCAGCCACGTGACTTGCGTTGGCCAATGTTATACAAGCAGAGGCTTAAGAGGTACTTTGCACCTTGGGGCCTGCCCTCTTCGGCTGCTTCTGGAAACCCTGCACCCGCCACTGTGTGGACAAGCCCAGACTAGCCTGCTGGATAACGAGACACAGGTGGCCAAGTCACCCCTTTCGGCCCAGATAACATCGAGCCAACCATCAGACGTGAGTGAGGCCATTCTAGATCACCCAGCCTCAACCGAGCTGCCAGGTGACCACTGAGATCAGTGGGGTGGCCGAGAACAGAATTGACAAGCCAAGTCATAAAATCAGGAGAAAGAGGGCCCGGCCCTGTGGCCGAGTAGTTAGTTCCAAGCACTCCACTTTGGCAGCCTGGGTTTGCGGGTTTGGATCCAGGTTGTGGACCTACTGGACTCACCAACCACACTGTGGAGGTGTCCCACACACCAAAAATAGAGGAAGATAGGCAAGGTGCTAACTCAGGGATAATCTTCAAAAAAAAAAAAAAAAAGAGGGGGACTGGCAACGGATGTTAGCACAGGGCAAATCTTCTTCAGCAAAAAAAAAATTTCAAAAGAAATAAAAGTCTCTGTTTTAAACCAGTTTTGGGATGGCTTGTTAAGCAGCAAAACTAACTTATACGCACGTTAAATTTTTTAAGTTTATGGTTATTTTTTTAAAGTATCACACTGTTGAAAAAATAAAAGTATAAATACAATCAATTCTCAGAGATTCCATATTTGCAAATTTGCCTATTTGCTAAAATTTATTTGTGACCCCCAAACCAAGCTTGTGGTGCTTTTGCGGTCATTCACAGGCATGCCCAGAATGGCGAAAAACTTGAGTCAATCAATGCACACGCCCCATCTGAGGTCAACTACGGCCTTCTGGTTGCAGCTCTCATACAGAAAACAAGTGTCCTTTTTGCGATCTATTCAGTGGCACATTTTTCACATTTTTGTGCTTTTTCTTAGATTTTCCTGTTTCAAATGGCCCCCAAGCACAATGGTGAAGTGCTGTCTAGTGTCCCTAAGCTCGAGAAGGCCATGGTGAGCCTCAGGCGTGAGTTATCGTGCTGTTGGCCAAGAGCTCAATGTTAGTCAAGCAACAATATATATTAAATAAAGTGTCTTTATTTATCTATTTTTTTAAGATCGGCACCTGAGCTAACTTCTGTTGCCAATCTTTTTTTTTCTTCTTCTCTTCTCCCCAAAGCTACACAGTACATAGTTGTATATTTTAGTTGTAGGTCCTTCTGCTTGTGGCATGTGGCACGCCACCTCAGCATGGCCTGATGAGCGGTGCCATGTCCGTGCCTGGAATCTGAACCAGCAAAACTCTGGGCGGAGTGTGCGAACTGAACCACTCGGCCACGGGGCTGGCCCCCTAAATAAAGTGTCTTTAAACAGAAATACACATAAAATAAGGCGAGGTACTGATCAGCAGACAAAAATGTTGTGACCAGAGGCCTGTAGGAACCTAACCCTGTAGCTCCCCTGGGACCAGTGGGTCCGTGTTGGCTAATTCAATGTTCGCAGCGCCTTTAAAGAAGAGAACTACCAGAATGAGCAGTGACTGTATACACAGCCCTTCACTACCCAGCTTATTTTTCCCTAAGAGAAGAGGCCCCCATGGCTTTGCTCGCAGCTCTGCAAGCTCCGGGTGCGGCCCCCTCGCTGCCGGAGTGTGAGAATCCCGAGCATAAGGAGGCCGAGCCGAGGGAACTCACCGCTGCAGGCGCCTCGGCGAACCTCGCCAGGGAGGGGGCTGGGGCTGCAGGGCACCGACTCAGTGGCAGCTTTGCACATGTCCTGGAAAAAATTGACACCTGGATTACCCGGGGGACAGGGACACGAGGCGGGGGAATCGGAGACCCAGAGATCTGAGCAACACCAGGGGGATCCGAATGCCCCTGTGAGAGGAGATTTCAAAGTATTTGTCTCCTAGCCGTGAGAAAACATCAGACAAACCCCAGCTGAGGGGCATTCTACACAACAGCCGCCCAGGGCTCTTCAGAAGCGGCACCTCAGAAGACTATGAAACTCACAAATCAAGAGACTAAGGAGATACAATAAGAAAATGCAACGTGGTTTCCTGGAACAGAAAAAGGACATTAGCGGAAAAACTGATGAAACCCCAGTAGCCTGGAGTGTAGTTAACGGACGCGCGCTGATACTCATCTCTCAGTTGTGACAGATGCGCCACGACTATGTACAATGCTAACATTAGGGGAAGGCGGGCGAAGGAAACACAGAAGCTTTCCGTACTAGTGTTGGAACTTTTCTAGAATCTAAAACTGTTCCCAAATGTAAAAGTTTAAAGAAAAAAAAAGTTTTGCTCAGTGACCTTCTCTGGGATAAGGCCGAGAAAGCCCCTGGCTTGAGAAAGCGCTCACGGTGGGGTCCGTCCTGGATCATGGACAGATGAAGGCCTGTCCCTGGGACGGAGGAAGCTACTAAGCGTGGTGAGAGGTGAGAATAAGCCCAGCAGCCACCACCTGGTGAAGCGGCGTGCTCGAGAGCCGCTCGAGAACAGGCTTCCTTCTCAGTCAGGCGGGCAGGCGGCGTGAGGAGTAACAGGGTCATATGTATGAGGGATGGAGACGGGGCTCGGCAGGTGTTAGCGATCCTAACTCGACACGCACTCACTCCAGGCCAGGCACTGGGTGCCGCAGACACCATCTGGCAGATGCCACCGCGACGTGACACAGCAGGGGTGTGTGCAAAGCCCGTTTCAGAGGACCTCAGGGAGGTGACCTCACTGGTCTAAAGTCACTGTAAGCAGAGAGGCCAAGAATGGAACCGCCATGTTGTTGGCTCAGTCACCAAATGGGTCCTACAGAGGGAGCTCCTGTCCTGGGGACAGAGAAAAGTCCTGGTCAAGATACTTATCATGAGGAAGATGAGAACTAGTGATGATGATAATTACAGAGAGCCTTTACTGAGGCCCCACTAAGGGCAGTTTACCCCGTATTAGGGCTTCGTATGACTCAATACTTACAACTACCCTGCAAAATAGGTTTGCCTATCTGCATTGAGACAGTAAGGCTCAGAGAAGTTAGGCAAAGTGCCTAACGTCACACAGCAAAATGGAAGAACCAGCCTCAGAACCCAGGTCTGCCTGCCTTTGCTTCCAAGCCTCCTGTTCACTCTGCCACTGCCCCTCCACCCCAACCCTAAACCCACGGACAGAGAGGTTGGGCAGAGCACCCACCTGGCGGTGCACCACCTTAGCATGCTTAAGGATGGCGATGATGTCACCCACCACAGTCACGCCCAGCTCGTTCATGATTTCCTTGTTGAGATCCAGCAGCATGCTCTTCTGGATCCTACAGCAGAGGGTCAGCAGTGAGGCCACAGTGGGCCCGGGTTGCCGGGCCAGCCAGAATCCTGTCTACTCCCCCGCCCACCCCGGTTCAGCTCTGTCCCCCCAGCCGCCTTACCTGTTATCCACAAACATCACAGCATAATTGACTGCAGGTCCCGGAGGAATGCCGGCTTCCTTAAAGAACTGGATCCACTCAGAAGTGGCTGGGGGGGTGGACAGGGCTCATTACTCACATTACTCTCTTTAGAGAACAGCGGCAGCAAAACCACAAAAGCAGTGGTTCCACAAATTAAACGCTCATAACACGCCAGGCCCCAGCTGAGTGCTTCACACGTACGATGGAACTGAGCCCACCCGCCCGCGAGTTCAGTGCATTATGACTCCTCCTCTGCCAGTGCGGAAACAGGCAGGGCGAGGTTGGGCCACGCGCTGCAGGCCACACTGCTAACCTGCAGCAGAGGCCCAGGCCCCTGTGCTCCCGCACGCCTTCTCTCTACAGCTCTGCCCTGCCCTGGAACGTGACCGGCGGCATCATGCTTGGCCAATGACTGACCTGGGGGACCGAGGGCTCATCAGTGGGCCCACTCGAGGGTGACAGGATCCAGAGGTGGATGGAAAGAAGGGTCACAGAGCCTCCACGGGCACGGAGGTTAGAGCACAGGCTTTGGAGCTTCGGTTCAAATCCTGGCTCTGCCATTTCCCGGCTGAGGGACTCTGGGCAAGTTAACACTCAGTGCCTCAGTTTCCTTTCACTAAATTTAGGATAATACCTTGAACAAGTGTTCACAGAGAACCAGGCACAGACCAGGTCCTCTTCTAGGCACTGAGGAGACCACAGGGCACAAGACAATGCCCCTTTCCTCATGGAGCTGGAGCTGACATTCTAGTGACAACAGCGCCAATGTCCTGGGGTCACTGCACTGACTCAGTGAGGAAGTCCACACAGACGGCTTTAAATGACACCTGGCCCAGAGGATGTCCTCAACCCACTACAGCCACTGCCACCACCATCTTCATCATCATATTATTCTGCCAGCAATACACACGGAGCCAAGGCCAAGACCAGGCAGACACCACCCACGGAGCTTTACTATTTCTAAACCTGTCGGCCTCTTCGATGTGACTTTCAAACTGATGCTGACGTGTCAGGCCAGGTGTTAGATAAGATTGTTAATTCCAAGTAGCACTTTTTTCCACATTTTAATATCTCCGAAACTAGGCTCTACCTCACGATCAGTGGTGTGCCACGGTTTAATCGGCAACATTTTCTTTGCTTTCTCATGGCAGAGAACACTGCAGCCAACAATCCGTGCTACTTTAGATGAGAATAAATTGCATATTACTATGCCCATGTCGCTGATGAGACAACTGAGGCTCAGAGTGGAGAAAGAGACACTCTGGGTCAGACGCTGCATGGGTGGCAGTGCAGGGCCCAGGCCCAGGGGCCACACCTCTCCCCAGGAGGCCCCTGCGCCCCCGCCACAGGCCCGTCTCCCCAGGACGCAGGCAGGTGAGGGGCCCAGGCCCTCAGGACTTCCTCCACCAGCCCAGAGGCAAGGGGGCCTTTTCCCACTGTGCCCAGGCACGGTCCGCCTGCCAGGCCATGGGGCCCGGGTCCCATTAGCCAAAAGTGGGCACCTTTGTCTAAGTATCGAAAAGCGCCACATAATGATTCCATTTACATGAAATGTCCAGAACAGGTCAGTCTACAGAGCGCTAGAGACACAGAAAGCAGATTAGTGGTGGCAGGGGCTGGGGGCGGGGGAATGACTGCCAACGGGTATGGGGTCTCTAGGGGAGGGATGACCATGTTGGAAATTGACTGTGGTGACGGTTGTATAACTCTGTGAACACAAAATAGGAAAACCATTGAGCTGTGCACTCCAAATAGGTGAACTGTATGAAATGCGAATTGTATCTCAATTAAGCTGCTAGGAAGCGGGGAAAAAGTGCCACGTAGTTTGGGGGTAGCTGGCTGCCTGAAGCAAAGTCGAGAAACTGCCAGAGTCCCCACCCCTGGCCCTCCCCATCGTCTCGTGTCCTGCGAAGGAGGAAAATATGCTGCCAGGTAAATGCTCAGAGGCAGCGGCTGTGAAACGCACCCCTACTGAGGAAACGAGAAGACGGGCAACATCGTGCCCCAGACTCAGTGAGGTGCGGGCTGCTGTCCACACCAGCAGACAGGCACTAGAGTATTCGCAGCAGCTTGTCTGGAATGGTCCCAAGCCAGAAACAACGCAAGATCCAGTGACAGCAGCATTGATAAACAAACGGTGGGCACTCACATGGAACATCCACACAGTAGGGCAAAGGAAAGGACTACAGTTACACGCAGCAACACCGACAACCCTCAGACAGTACGTCAAGCCAAAGAAGCCAGACACAAAAGACCACATGGCAGGAGTTCCACTCATAGAAGTTCAAAACCAAAGTCCGTACGGGAATGTTTTCACTGGTGGTTCAAGTATAAAGAAAGGGCCGAAGAGATTATCACAAAGCTAGGATAGTGGTTTATTCCATGCGGATGAGGGAGGGGGTTTGTGTTGGGGTGGGGCCCTCAGGAGGGCTGCAACATTCCATTTCTTGACCTGGATGATTACAGAGGGTTTGCTTTTTTTTTTTTTTAATCTTTTTATTGAACTACAATGTATATGCACAAAAGTACACACAAGTTGATACATTTTCATAAATGAACACGCCCACGTAACCAGCACCCAGATCAGGAAATACATTCCTGACATCCCAGAAGCCCCCACCTCGTATTCCCTTTGTGGTCACTTCTCCCCGCCTCGCCAGGGCAACCACCACCTTCCGACAGCACAGATTGGCTTTGCCTGTGTTTGTGCTGTATGTAAATAGAATCCCAGAGGATGTGCCCAGCCGTTCACTTTTGAACTGCTATTATAACCACACAGATACGTTTTACATCGTCTCCCATATGAACAAATCTCAAAAAATCTAAAAGCTACCAGCTAACCTCTGTGCTGCGGCAATCCCAAAATACAGAGCTTGAAGGGAACACGGTGACGAGGCTCATGAGGATAAAAATAGCTAACGTTTGCTGAGACCTAGGCCCAAGATTTCACATGCAATAACTTCCTGAATCCTTACAGCATCCCAGGACGCAGGGAGTGCCGGCATCGCCATTTTACAGGTGAGGGGCCACGTGGGCGATCTGCGGGACTCCACAACCCAAGTCCCGCGCGGCTGGACCACACTGTCAGGAGGCCAAGGCATGGAGAGGCCGGGGCGGGTAGGCCTAGAGCAGGCCCCGCCCCGCCCCCACGCGCCTCAGAGTACAGCTGTTCCTGCCAGTGACCCAGCCCTCCCTCCCCCACCCCGTCTCCCCCACCAAGGTCATACCTCAAAAAGGGCAGTGGGGAGAGGGGGCCCCGGAGAGAAGGCCACAGACTCACCCATAGTCACCGAGACCATTGTCTCCCTGGCCCTGAGGCTGCTCCCTGGAGCCTGGAAGAGAGAACAAGGGGAGAGGGCCCATGAGTCGCGGCGGCTGTGAGTGTCTGTCCCTTTCTCGCTGCCTGTCTGTCTGCCTGCCAGAGGAGAGTTCCTGGGCTGGGGGCTCACAGCCCAGGAATAGCCTGGAGCAGCTGGCAGGAAGTCAGCCCGGGACAGGGCTGCCACCGCAACTGTCACTTCTGCCTGGGACAGGGCCCAGGGACAGCAAGTGTCCACAGCTCCATTCCCACACACCTCAGAAGATCTGGCTGGAACAGGAGAGGGACAGAAAACAGACACCCCCGCCCAAGCCTTTAAGCATCAATACCCCTTCATTCATCCATACAAAACTACTTCCTGAGAACCTACTGTGTGTGAGGCCCTGTTCTAGGAGCTGGGGATACTGAGGTGACACAAACATGGAGCTTGGCATCTAGGTGAGGACAGGCGGAAGGGAGAGACAGAGAGTAAACGAGATGGTGCGTGGGAAAGCCTTCAGTGCCATGGAGGAAAGAGCGGCCCCGGGGAGGGAGGGGCTGCGGTTCTAAAGAGGGTGCTGGGGGAAGACCTCTGACAGTGACATTTGGAGACCCGAAGGAGGTGGGGGAGTGAGCCACACGGTTTCACAAAGGAAGAGTGTTCCAGAAGAAGGTACAAGTCCAGTGCCCTGAGCCAGGAGCCCATCTGGCCGTCTAGGCAACAGCAAGGAGCCTGCATGGCAGGGGCAGGGGAGTGGGGAGGAGAGTGAGGGGAACTGGGAGCAGAGAGTTGGGGCACCAGGTCATGAGGGGCCTCAGAGAAGAAACGGAAAAGCAACTTTCACTTAGAAAAGATTAGCAAATGCTAGAAAGGAGTTAAGGACATATTAGCACCCACGGAGACTTTCTCCTGGACATTAGTAACAGTTTCGAAAAGAGAATTAAAGGAAGGAACTTTCTCGCCTGAGGATCCGATGTCACCTGACCCCAGGACCACCTGGCCCTCCCTGTCCTGGCCCAAACTTCCCACTGAGCCCTCCCTCCTCTTTGGCCCTGCCCTCTCCTCCATCTCCTCGGCCTCTTCCTCCACTCTGTTCCCTCTACCCAGCCCAGCCCCGGATTCTCATCCTTCGCCCTCCCCGCTCCTCCGCCTCCCCTGTAGGGTACAGAAGGCTGTATCCGCACGCTTCTGTTCACCGTCCCACGCTCTCTGCCCCTCCCCGCCCTCATCCTGATGGTATAACAGGGCTGGTGGAAGAGGAAAGACTCTGGAAGCAGACTGCAGGCTTCCAATCTGCCTCAACCACTTACTAGCTAGGTGGCCTTGGCAAGCAGCTTCACCAGTCCAGCCTCGGGGTCGCCATCTGTGAATTGGGATGTACAAACGTTACCTACCTGGGAGGGCCAGCTGAGCGCCTATGTGCAAAGCACTTGCCACAGTGCCCGGTGCATACGAAGTACTCTAGAAGTGTGGGCTATTCTCACCCCCAGGCCTGACGCCCAGCCTCCCCTCTAACCCCCAGGGCCTTTGCCCGCCTCCCGGTTTTCACACAGAATGTCACCTGCGCCTGGAATGCTTTTCTCCTCCCGTTCTTCTAGAAAGCTCTCCATCACTCCGCTTGGCTGCCACCTGCTCTGTGAAGCTTTGAGAAGTCTCACCCACATGGGAGACTCTCCTCTCTATCCCCGGCTAAGGTTCATCCTGCGGTCTCTAGCTTCAGCTGCATCTCTTAGTGACGAACAGGACCACAGACGTCTGCCCTGTATTTAACTCCCTAAGATCCACCTTCCCTTTCGGATTTTACCATGGGACAAAGACAACACACCCAGCATCTGTCAAAGAGCAGGGCATGGACAGGCTTCAATAAGTCAGACGGAACAACATCTCGCACATGAAGCGCTAACTACGCACCAGGACCAGAGCTGGGCGTCATGCTGACGCCTCACAACCACCTCATGAGTGAGGACTATTATCAGCCCCATTTCAGTGGATGAAAAAACCGACTCATCCAGGCGCAGTCATTTGCCAAATGCCAAATCTAGCAAGTGGCTTTACCAGGATTCAAAAACCAGTTCTCCCTGATTCCAGTGCCTGTGTGGCAGCTCCTGTCGAATGTTTATGTGCCGGGCACTGACTATATCCACATCTCAGTCACTCCTCACAGCCACCTGGGGAAAAAAGTAAAAATGATCCCCGTGTTACACATGAGTGTGGCAGGTCCAAGGTCACAGCCCAGGGGCTCTGATTCACGCCGGTCGAGGGCTTACTATGAGCCAGGCACTATGGTCTGTCCTTGCCAAGTTTCAGTGAACGCTCACCAGAAGCCTTTAAATACTGGTATCCTCCCCCTATGGCTGCAGAATTCCCTGCTAGACTCAAATTCCTCCCTCCACCGTTAAGAGCCCAGCTCCAGCGCTGACCTCCTGAACAGTGAAAGTTATATAATATTAATAATAGTAGAAAAAAGATAGCTCCCAAGACTCAAGTAATTACCAGGTACCAGACACCCTGTGCTAAGCCCTGAGAAGACTTGAATCCAAAACTTGATTTTGTCACTTCCTAATCCTGACTCTGGGGCAAGTGGCTTAATCTTTCTGGAACTCACTTCCCTCAAATATAGAGTAAGAATGAAAGGAATATCTATTCTTAAGTGGTTAGAGGGATTAAATGAGTTCATAAAACCTAAGGCCTTAGAACGATGCTCGGCAGGTGATAAGCACTATGTACACGTGCATTAAACAAAATAAACCTTCAGTGAGCTAGGCAAAGGACAGGACAGTCATTGACCTAATGTCAGTCATATGCAAAGCGGGAGCTGAGAACAGAGTATAAGACAACTCGACAGGGCCTGTGGGATCTGACAGCACGCAATCACTCTGCACACGTTATTCCCTTCCCAATTCTCTTTCATTTTCTGTCTACGACTTAATAGACTTTTCTGCTTCCAATGTATTTCAGGTTAATATCGCCTTCTTCTCACAGCCAGCAATGCTAGTTTTCCACTAGGATAGCAATACAACTTTTCCTTCTCAAATCAGTACACTGGAGAAAAGACATCAGTGGTTTTAAAGAAAGAGAGAAATCTAATACTATGGGATTCGGCAAGATGAGCCAAATAGTAAGTGGCAGGATGTTGACCGGCCCCGACTCCAGATTCCGAGGTTTTCCTCCTGCTGTCTCTGAGCTTCCTCCTTCCCTCCACTTCCTTGGAAGTCCCATCTACCCCAATGACTCAGAATCATGATCACTACAGCCCCAATCTGTTGAGCTCCTGCTCAACGCTGTGCCAGGCCCTGTGTGCTGAGGGCTTTGCACGCACATTTCATCAGCATCCTCACGACGACCCTAAGACACTGGGACTATCAGCCCTCATTGCACAGATGAGGAAAATGAGATTCAGAGAGGGGGAAGATCCAGGCCTCCTGCCACAAAGTGGAGCTGGGACTTCAACAGGAATCTGCTGGCCTCTGATTTCACGCTCCCAACCCACACCTTCCACGCCAAGCGCAAACACCATCACTGAGACCAACAAGAAGAGTATAGTAACGAAGTGAGCAGTGTGCAGGCGCGGAGCTAGCGGCTCCGACATGCACGAGCTGACCCCACGCCAACCCATAAGGAGGATGCTATGGTCAGGTTCTGAGCCCCATTCTCCAGAGCAGGAAACTGAGGTTCAGAGAAAGAAGTCGCTTGTCCCGGGCCGCACAGCGGCGCCGGGAAGGACTCCGGGGCCCCGGACGCCATCCATCCATCCCCACCGCATCCGGTCCAGGCCCAGCACCCCCGGCCCCGCGCCTCACCTGCCCCGCAGGGCCCGCGCCCCCTCGCGCCGCCCGCCCGGCCGGCGGCGCCAACTGTCAGACCCTCCTCCCTCGGCCCGGCGGCCCGCCCGGAAGCACCGCCCTCGCCGCCGGAAGCCGCACTGACCGCGGCCGCTCTAGCCCGCCCGGCTGCCACCAGCGAGAGCGCGGCGGCCCCCGTCACGTGACAGCCCCCCCCCTCCCCGCCCCAGGCCCCCTCCTCTCCCAGGCGCTTCGCTCCGCCCCGCGCTAGCGAGGAGCGCAGCCAATGAGAAAGGCGCATACCTGGCCCCCGCCGGCCCGCAGTCCCCCCGGAGTGCGCCTGCGCGCGGCGGGGGCGGTCCGACCGGGCTCCAGCCTGGAAGGTGCGCGCGGGGCTGGGTCCGGGCGTGGGAGACGAGGAGTGCAGGTACTGTGCGTTCTGGGGGCGCGGCGCGTCGGCCGCCCTCCTCGTGTTGTCCTTCCGTCTATCCTGTATCTCTCCCCTTATGTCGTCCTCTGTCCCTTTATGTTCCCATTCTTCCTATGTCGCATCCCGCTTAAATCGTCACCACTCCCCTTCTGTCGCCATCACCCTCCTTATGTCGCCGTCAACCCTCTTAACTCGCTTTTGTTCCCTTTAAGCCCCAATTGCCACCTTATGTCGCAGTCTTCCCCCCTGTAAGTCGCCATCGCCTTATGTCTCCTGCACCCCTCTTTTGTTGCTTGCTCTCCTTGTGAAATCCTCACTTCTCCTAAATCGTCATCATATCCCCGTGTCACCTTCGCACGCCTCCAGTCACCGTCTCCTTAAATCGCACTGACGCTTCCCTTCTGTCATCCTCGCCCCGTATGTCTCCACCCTCCCATGTCGACTTTGCTACTGTGACAGTCACCATGCGTGCGTCATGCTTCGAGTTTTCCCCATAAGGAGTCACCCTGCCTTCCAGTCGTTTTTCTTCCCTCCGTGTCTCCCGTGTCATTTCCCCATGTCACCTCTCACATACTTGCCACCATAGGGGGTACTAGACCCATTCCCCGGGGTGTGCCAGAATCCCAGCTTCACCACTAAACCTCCGCGTGCCCTTGACCGCTGGTCACACCTCTGCCCTCTCAGCTTCCCCATCTGTAAAATGCACACAAGGACAGCCGCGTCAGGGACAAGCGTGAGGATTCTGCGAGTTTGCTCTTGTGGTGTGCCAGCTTGACGTGGGGTGACTGGGGCTAGTATTTCCATTAACCATGTCACCCTCACCCTTGTCCAGTCCCCTTCATCCTTGTCACTGTCCCCCTCCCCCCAGCGGCCCTCATCATTCCTGTGGTGTCGTCACACTCCCTGTATCATGATACCCTCTGCCACGGCAGCCATCTCATGCCACCCCACGTCACGATCTCCGTATTGTCCTCCCCTCGGCCACGTCACCACCCCTGAGGGGGTGGCCCATCGGCCATCACGAACCTTGCTCACATTAATCCTTACTTCCTATCTCTTTACCTTGTTGGGGTGAGTGATCGCCCACCCCCAAAGGAGAGCATTTAGCAGATGCTGCGGTGGGAGTCACGGAGGGGTCGTGGGGTGAGCTTAGGCCCAGATCTCCCTTGACGTCTAGAATTGGGGGTACAGAGAGATGAGACAGGTCCCCCCACAGCTCAGTCAAACCCCAGCAGCCCTGAATCCCCAGGGGGGGAGGTAAGTATCTTACTCACTCCGCTTGCCTTAGCGAGGCAGTGGAGCACAGTAGTTAGCAGTGTGTGCCTGGAGGCTGGCACACTCTGGTTCCGATCGGGTCTAACGCTTCCTACTTAAATAGTTGCATGACCTTGAGCAGGTGGGTTAAGGTCCCTGTGCTCCAGTCGCTACACCTGCAATACGGGAATGAAAACGCAAGTTACACACTCAACAAATATTCATTAAGCACATTCTGCATGCCCAACACGGTGCTAGGCACTGGGGACACATCACTGAACAAAACAGAGAGAGATCCCGGGCCTCGTGGATTTCCATTCTAGCAGGGGTAAGAGGCAATAAGAGAACAGGTAAGTAGATTCTATGACATGTTAGACGGGAGGTGGAGAATGCACGGTAAAGGTTGTAGTTTTAAAGGTGGTGTGGTCAGAGGCCAGCCCCGGCGCGTAGTGGTTAAGTTCAGCATGCTGCACTTCGGCAGCCTGGGTTCGAGGGTTCGGATCCCGGGCACAGACCTACACCACTCATCAGCCATGCTGTAGTGGCAACCCACATACAAAATAGAGGAAGACTGGCACAGGTGTTAGCTCAAGGCAAATCTTCCTCAGCCAAAATAAATAACTAAGAATAAAGAAGGTGGGGGCTGGCCCAGTGGGACAGCGGTGAAGTGCACACATTCTGCTTTGGTGGCCCGTGTTTCACCAGTTCGGATCCTGGGTGCAGACATGGCACCACTTGGCATGCCATGCTGTTGCAGGCATCCCACATATAAAGTAGAGGAAGATGGGCATGGATGTTAGCTCAGGGCCAGGCTTCCTCAGCAAAAAGACGATTGGCAGCAGATGTTAGCTCAGGGCTAATCTTCCTCAAGAAAAAAAAAAAAGAATAAAGAAGGTGGTCAGGGAAGGTTTTCTGAGTGTGGTGACATTTGAATGAAGACTTGAAGTGAGTGACATGGCTGTCTGGGGGAAGAGCATTCTAGGCAGAGAGAGCGACAAGTGCAAAGGTCCTGAGGTAGGAGCGTGCATGGAATATTTAAGAAATAGCAAGGAGGCCAGGGAGTGAGGTGAGGGCTAGGAGATGAGGTCAGAGGGGTGATGAGGGCAGATCCTTTGGGGTCTCATCGACTGTGGAGGAAACTTTGGCTTTACCCTGAGTGAGGCGGGAGCCACGGGAGGATTCAGAGGAGAGGAAGGACGCGATCTGATGTGACATGAAACAGCAGCAGCAGCTCCAGAACTTCGACCAAGGATGGATCGGCAAGAGCAGCCTGGTTGCAAGGAGAGCCAGAGTGCTCTTCTGAAAGCTGCACTCACATATCCTTTATATTCGGAGAAGGCTTCAAATGCCGCCCTCAGAGAGGGGGAGAGGGAGGGGACGTTGATAGAGTGTCTGAGGCCACCTCTGGCTTCAGCTGCTGTTAGGGAGGGAGGGCGGACAGCTACTGATCTACAGATGCTAAACAACAGGAGAGGCACCTGTCTACACCCGGGACCCTGAGGCATCTTGGGTTCAAATCCTGGCTCCACCATTTCCCTGCTGTGTTCCTTTATGCCAGTGACTTAACCTCTCTGAATCTTTAGTTCCCTTATCTGTTCAGTGGGGCTTTAAAAAAGGACTGTGGTGAGAATTAAATAGATAAAGTGCTTCGAGCGCTGCCTGCTTCCATACCCATAAGGAGCCCTACCCTCTCGCCCCACATCCTGCCTTTTCACGGGCTCAGGCCTCCCTCCGGGTGGCGAGGAGAAGACGCTCTGCCTCATTTTGGGTTCATGAATTGGGTCGACCGTTTAGCGTCCTGGAACAGAACTGAGCTCTGGGTTCCAATTCCCAGCCGACAAACCGACGCTGTGCCACCGGGGGTGGGGGGTGATTTCCCCGAGCGTTCCCGCCTCTGAAAAACGGAGAATAATGCTCCGTGGGCCCCGATGAGTGGTTCCTTTTGAACTGAGACATCATCCATTTCAGTTGGGATGTCCCGTCCCCTGCGCCCCTTATTTTTCTCCGAGGCGCATATTATGTGTTTTACTCGTTTATCTATTGTCTCACGCCACCAAAATATCATCCTTAGTAGGGATTTTGTTTTTCTTTTTTGGGCTGTGTCTCCGGTTTTCAGACAGGATTTGTCAGCAAGTAGTCACTGAATAAATACTAGTTGAAGAAGAGATGAAGGAACTGGCCACTGAGCACCTGCCATGTGCCCCTGTGCTGGGTGGCACTGGGGACCCAGCAGTGAGGGAGACAGCCCCGCCCTGCCCTCATGGGTGTTACAGTCCAGTCGGGGACACAGACCCGTCACCAGGCACTGACAGCCCCGAGTGGTCAGGGCCACCGGCAGAGGGGTCAGGCCTGGGAGGGAGAAGCCCAGGGGGCGGTGAGAGCCTGGGGATCCCGAAGGGCTCCCTGGAGGAGGCGGTACAGGGGCTGCTGGGAGTGACCAACATGCAGAGGAGAGAAAGGTGTGCTGGGCGGGAGGAGCTGCTGCGGGAGGGTGTTTGGTGGCGACTGTGGTTTCAGTTCAAGGAACTGAAAGATAATTAAATATGGCTGGGGTATGGCGGATGGCGAGAGGATATTTATTAGGGGAAGATCATTCAGGGCTTCGGGAGGGCGGCTGCGAAGAGGTTTTAAGCAGGGGAGGGACAAGTCAGACTCACATAGAGGGGGGATTGAAAGGGTCCAGTGGAGGCCGGGAGCCAAGGGAGGTAGCTGGAGAGGGGTCTCAGGTGCAAGAGGACCAGTCCGGTGGAAGCCATGGAGGGAAGAGAAAAGGGAGTGATGGGAGAAGTTGTGGGGAGTGCAGAATGAGGCCCAGGGCTCCGGGGAAGTCAAGGAGGGCTTTCTGGAGGAGGTGGCCCACAGGCTGAGACCTGAAGGATGAGTAGGACAGCTGTCCTTGAAATAGGGACCGGGAGGAGGAACAGGTTTAGGAGAGATGCTAAGGACAGTTGGGGACAGGGTGGCTGTAAGGGGCTTGGAACACCTGAAGGGAGGTGCCTAGGAGGCCATGGGACTCCAGAGCTGGGGTTCAGGGATGAGGTGGGAGTTAGAGACAGCTTTGGAGTCAGAAAGGGGACCTGAGGCTGTAATGGCGGGGAGGGTCCGCAGGGGCCTGTCCTTGTGGAGCCCTAGAGGACACATAGGAGGTGTGCACTTTGTCCTGAAGGCAATGGGGAGCCACAGAGGGATTTTGAGCAGAGGTGGGACAGCTTTGATTTTTGAGTTCCAATTCAGACGTATTCACCATTCATGATGGGTTTTGGGGTTTGTTTTTCTTTACCTATTTAATTCTTTTTCAGACCGAGCATCTTCTCTCCTTAGAAGAGGCATCTTCTAGGGGTCCTTTGAAATAAAGTTTCTACTGCTAAAAACAAAGCAGACAAACAGAAAAGGTTTACAAACCCAGTGCCCCGTTCTGTTTTCTGTAGACTTGACCACAGACAGTTGATCGTTCAGTCCACAGGGGTCTGCACGGTCAGGGGAAAATCGGCTCCTTTAAACACGAGGACATTTCTGTTTTGAACCATATGGAAGGTCCTTAGGTGTGTGGATGTTTCCTGCGGTGTGGCCCGTCCAGGGCTGCATGCGCATCTCAGCCGCTAACTGGCCCCCGCCCTCCTGCGCATGCTCAGGGGGCTTAAATCAACCTTGGACCGACCTTGAATGTTGGTCTAAGGCTGAAACGCCATCATCTGCACCTTCGCTCCTTGCTCTGGGTTATCATTGTGTATAAAAGAAGAGTCCGTAGGTCTAGAGAGACGTCTGAGACAGTCTCTCGAAGGCTTCCATTCCACTGCTCCATTTCTTCTGTTTTCAGCATTTATTGAGGGTTCCCGTGTGCTGGTCATTGGGGCTTAGAGGGATAAATCAGACCCCGATTTAGGTTTTTAAGGGACACATATAAGTTTATCTGTGACAAAAGTGTGTCCCGGGCACTAGGGGACACACGGATCTCACCAGCCAGCGTGTGTTGGAGGTTTCCTGTGCCACCTGCCTGCCATGAATGGTTTCATTGACCCTTCCCAGCAAATGTGAGGTTGGTGTATGAGTCCCCTCATTGTTCCAAGAATGAAAGTGAGGCTCAGAGAAGGAAGCCTCTTTTCCCAGTAACACAGCACTGAGATCTGAACCCAGGGCTGTGGGACTCCGAGACCCACCCCCTTAAACCATTCAGTGATTCTCGGGCCACCCCCCCACCCCAGATGGGTATAAGATGACCCCTGTTTTAGAAATGAGGCCAGCAGGGCTCAGAGAAGTAAAGCCCGTGCCTGAGGTCACTCAGTAAGAAAGTGACAGTGGTGGGATTCGAACCCTGGACTTAAATCCAAGCTCTGCTAAGGAGGAGAGAGCCGCTCTGCCACCCTCACTCGGGGGTGGGGTGTTCAGGGAGCTGTGACTCAACATGTGTCTCAGAAGGCCAGTGGTTTTGCTTCCTCCTTTTCTGTGGGCTGCGGTGTCGCACTCCAAGGCAGGCAGGGCACAGCCAAGAGGATGAGGACATTCTGTGGGCTGGGAGGGGCCCCCCTTGCTGGCAGAGGTGCCTTCCACACCAGGGAGGACACCGAGCATAAGGACCAGCCTCGGCGGTGCCCTGGAGCCCCGTGGGGGTTCTGGGTTCCTGGGAACACAGGAGCGGAAGCGAGCTGAGGACAATGCCGGCCCCTGCCAGCCTGGCTCTGTCAGTCATCCCATCTTCAGCCCACTGGGATCTGGGGGTAGGGGCGTTCCAATACTTCTCCAGCTGAGGCCACCGTCCTTTTCTGGAGACTGCATTGTAGGGGAAGGGGTACTCCAGCTCATAGTCTGAGCCTCATAATTTAATTTCCTTGGAAGTCCTATGTGCCTTTTAAAAAATTAAATAGTAAAGGCCTACAAAGAAAAGTAACCATCTGGGGCTGGCCCAGTGGCACAGTGGTTAAGTCCATACATTCTGCTTCGGCAGCCCAGGATCCACCAGTTCGGATCCCGGGTGCAGACATGGCACTGCTTAGCACGCCATGCTGTGGCAGGCGTCCCACATATAAAGTGGAGGAAGATGGGCCCAGATGTTAGCTCAGGGCCAGTCTTCCTCAGCAAAAAAGAGGAAGATTGGCGGCAGATGTTAACTCAGGGCTAATCTTCCGAAAAAAGAAAAAAGAAAAGTAACCATCTTTGCCGCCGGGAGGGAGGGGAGGTGCCTTTTTTTTGGTCAGGAGCCTTAACACAGTCACTCAGATTTCTAGAGAACTATTGCATGCCCATCTGTGCACCTGATAGGTGTTCATTCCTTTAGTTCAAGGAGCCACTCGGATAGATTTTAGACCTCTCAAAATTTATATGCTCAAAATCTGGTCTTTTCCCCCAAATTGTTCCTCCCTCAGTCTTCCCCACATCATCTCTTGGCGCCTCCCTCCTTGCAGCTGCTCAAGCCTTGGAGTCATCGTCTGCTCCTTTCTTTACCTGGAGTCCAGGTCTAGTCTGATTAGAAATCCTGTTGGCTCCGCCTTCAAAGCCTACCCAGACTCCACCTCCTCTTGGCCCCTTGGCTGCCCCAACGCTGGTGCTGGCCACCCTGTCGTCCCAGGACCCTCCTACCTGGCGCCCTGCTCCACCCCGCACCCCAGCCATCCTGTCCCTCACAGCCAGCGGGAGCCTGCCAACACCTCTGTTAGTTTCCCAGGGCTCCCATAGCAAATGACCACAAACTGGGTGCTTTAAACAACAGAAATGTCTTCTCTCCTAGTTCTGGAGGCCGGAAGTCCGAGATCAAGGTGCTGACAGGGCCATTCCCACTCCAGAAGCTCCAGGGGACATTCCATTTGCCTCTCCCAGATTCTGGTGGCCCCTGGCAAACCTGGGTCTGCAGCCACATCGCTCCAATCTCTCCCTCCCTGGTCACGTGGCCTTGTCTGCGTCGTCTTTCTCTTTTGGAGACTCTTGTCATTGGATTTGGGTCCACCCAGATAAGCCAGGATGATCTCATCTCAGAATCCTGAATTGAACTCTATCTGCAAAGACCCTTTTTCCAAATAAGGTCACATTCACAAGTTCCGGAAGGTATGCCCACATCAAATGTATCTTTTTTGAGGCCACTGTTCAACCCACTACAATACCCAAGGCAGATCATGTCCCTCCTCTGCTCAGAAGCTAACTGTGGCCCTGTCCTTCTCGCCACAGTCCAGGCAACCCCGCAAGATCTGGTCCTGTCACCTCGCTGGCTCATCTCCTCTCCCTTTCCCCCCTGCCCACTCCACTATAGACATGCTGGCCGCCTTGCTCTTCCTTATCCACACCAGGCACACTCCTGCCTCAGGGCCTTTGCACTGGCCATTCCCTCTGCTTGGAACACTCTTCCCTAAGAAGTCTACATAGCTCCCTCCCTCCCCTCGATGTTTTCTTCTCAGTGAGGCCTTCCCTGACCTTACTGAAAATTGCAAATAAGCCCAATCCTACCCCACCCTGTCTCTCTTCCCTGATTTTCAGTAGCACTTACTACCTTCTAACATATAATTTACTTATTAACTTGTTTTTTGTGTCTCTTCTCTCATGTCTGTTTTGTTGATGGTAGTATCCTCAAGGCCTAAAACAATGCCTGGTGCACAGTAGGTACTCAATAAATAGGTGTAAAATTAGTGAACAGCCTCATGAAAAGTAGATGCTATTGATAGCAGGCCCATTTTGCAGATGAGGAAACTGAGGCACAGATGCATTGTCACTCCTCAAACAGTCACATAAGTGCTGAGCTTCAGATTCAACTCAGGCCCCTGGCCCTGGAACCCACAGCATTCATTGCCTCGCCCACCTAACCCAGTCTGAACCACCTCTCCAGTGCTCGTTTTCTTTTTAAACACCTTAGATAGGTTGCTTTGATGAAAATATAACAGAGGTTAAAATTAAACCCATCATTACAGAGCTGTCATCACTGTCCAATCTGAAAGCCGAAAGGTCACGCACAATTGGAATGAACTCTGTCCATTTTCTTCCTATTTCTGGTTTATTAGTGGCTGTCCCAGCTCCCCGGCTTCCCCGTGCCGGGTCCTGTACCCCATCTCCACACCCCACCTCTCCCTCCGTTTTGCGCTTGGGTTTTTTTTAGCATCTCTAATTTCACATCCCCTGCTGTTCCAACTTAGTCTTCTAAAATAAAATACTTCTCACCAAGGCCTTCGCAAATAATAAAAGGCAAATGTTGTTTCCTGCCCCACGCCTCCCCTCGCTCACCCCGAAACCCTGTGGTCAGCCACTTCTAAGACTGTGTTATCTTCTGCTTCTCTCGGTGACCTCTGGAGTCCCAAATAACCTTGCTCTGTTGCCATTTCTTGATGGAACCAATTCACGCCATCCCCTTTTTGCCTCCCTGCAAGGAGGAAGGCCATCCAGCTGTGCTCTGCCCCTGCCAATCAGATGGGGCAGTAGGGGAAGGGGTTTCCAAGTTGTCCTTTCAGATCTGGCCTGGATTTTGCAGTGAGAGAAGAATCTAGCTCCTTTTTGGAATTTTCCGTTTTTACCCCCTTCTTTTTTTAAATCTCAGTAATGAATGTGCATATTTTTTTTAAGTGACAAAACGTGGGATGCGGCAACACATGTGTTCGCTTTATAATTATTTCTTAACCTGCACGGAGCCTTTTTTTTCTCGATTTTTCTGTAAGTCGCTTATATTTCACACTTTTAAAAAAGAAAATAGGCGTACAATAAAAAGCAGCTTTGACCCACCCCAAAATCCAACTGTCAGGGCCACCACTGTTGCTTATCAGTGCTACGTAATCCTTTTCTGCATTTATCTGTTGACTTCCGGCCTGGATGGGGTCAAGAGGGTCCTGGCCCGGTTTCATTGAGAAAGGTGGGTGGGGAGGGGCTTCTCCCATTTATTTCCCCAGCTGTGGCCTTAAATCCTGCTTGCGAGATTCGAGATGGGAGATGGGAGGTGAGAAACCCTACTTATCCCTCCAGCCAGAGCTTGGATTTCAGAAACAAAATTTTTAAAATTCCTATCAAAATATCAGCTGGCTTTAAAAGAAAAAAAAATCTAGTACTGTCATTCAAACAGACTCCAACAGAAACCCCACCGACTCTTGCTCCGCCCCGCTCTTCCCCTCCCATAGCGTGGGCTGTGTCTTCTGCTGATCTAATCGCTACATCTCGAAATCCTATTACTCAACCTTGATCTCTCCATTTTATTTTATAAATTCCTTAATCATTAATTTTATTTATGTATTTGTTTTTTGACTAGGTAATACATGCCCATGGTACAAAAAGTCACAAGGTTTGTAGACGAGAAAAAGATGTGGGGTTCCTTTTTCTCTTTACCTGTGGCCTTCCTACCCGACCCCGGGGCTCTGGGGTAGGGTGTGGCAGAGCCCATCATCCAGCCGTGTACTCCCCCTACCCCGGCCAGGTCGGCCGCACAGTATCTGGGGGTCCCGGCCCCCCCTCTCCCCCCAGGGAGCGCGAGCCGGCGAGCGCACTGCGCAGACTCCCCGCTGCAGTGGGCGGAGCCTCCTTCGGGCCCCGCCCCCTCCTTCCTCCCACCCCGGCTCAGCCTGTTGGGGCAGAAGCTGGGGCCCCGTGGAGGCAGCAGCTGCCGCCTGCGGAGTAAGACCGAGGCCCCTTTGGGGTAGGGTGAGGAGGCTGGCTGGGGGGATGGGCTGGGGGCTGGAGGGGAGGCCCCGATAGCCCTAGGTTCCCGGCTTGAGCTGTCTGGTGGATACCTGAGGATGAGAACAGACGAGCCACCTGGAAAACGTGCCCTGGATAGTCTCAGGGCTGGGGGAAAGCCAGGCACGAATTTTGGGGGCTCCGCTGTCCCCATCCAGAGCTGTCTTTTGAGAAGTGTCTAAATTAGAGATCAGAGAAGGGAAGATGCTAATGGGGAGCAGTGTGGGCGCTAATGAGGAGCACAGTAGGCGCTAAGGGGGACGGGATGGGCACTAAAGAGGGCCGGGGGGCACTTCAGAGTGATGGGGAGAAAGCACAAGCATTGGATCTTGAGGGATTTCGAAATCCCTGCTGACCGGCGGTCAGCTTCCTCCTTTGGGGTGCCGGGCCTCGTGCCAGTGGCCCCCGTGATCACGGGTAAGGAAACCCAGTGGATCCTGTGATCCCGAGACTGCTCCGCCTTCCGTGATATCCCCCAAAAGCGCAGAACACCCCACACGGTGCCGGCTTTTGTTCCCTGCAGTTCGGAGACCCTGACACACCCACTTTCCCGCCTGGGCTCTGCGTATCCCCCTGCTGCCTGGCAAGATGAAGCCTAAACTGATGTACCAGGAGGTAGGTGTTTGGGAGCCCCAGTGGGGAGAGGCTGGGCGCAGCGGAGGGCGGGGGCCCCACCGAGTGGCCCGGTCACCCCTCTCCCGTCCCCATCCTCCCAGCTGAAGGTGCCTGCTGAGGAGCCTGCCAGCGAGCTGCCCATGAATGAGATCGAGGCGTGGAAGGCTGCGGAGAAGGTAGGAACCCACTGCCACCCTCTGTCTGTCTCAGGCGTGGGCTGGGCTCCCCTCCTTGGGATGGCTGATCGCCTCCTCCTCCCCACAGAAAGCCCGGTGGGTCCTGCTGGTCCTCATCCTAGCGGTAGTGGGCTTCGGTGCCCTGATGACTCAGCTGTTTCTATGGGAATACGGCGACTTGCATCTCTTTGGACCCAACCAGCGCCCAGCCCCCTGCTATGACCCCTGCGAGTAAGTGGGGGAAGGGGAGCGGGGGGCCCTGCCATTCCAGGGACACTTACACACACGCTAAGCAGAGCCTGACTTGGCTGCCCCCCGTGCCCCTGACAGAGTGAGGTGGTCGCAGACTCCCCAGTGAAACGTCGCAGGTTCTTCCCTCCGTGCCTGCCACCCCCTCCCCCACGCCGTTCCCATGGCAGCCACAGCATCATCTCCTATCCAGGTCTGTGGACACATAGACGCACACAGACGCGCACAGCATCTTCCATCCACATCTGTAGACAGACACACACACACACACACACACAGACATCCACATCCACACCCTTCCTTCCACACTTCTAGACAGACAAATGGACAGACACAGAGAATCACGAGGACAGGCACACGCAGATACACATCTCCTATCCTCCGCGGGCAGACAGGTGAGCACTCACATTCCAGCTGGCCATCTCCGGCCCCCAGTGGCTGACACCGTCCCCCACCCCCCAGAGCAGTGCTGGTGGAGAGCATTCCCGAGGGCCTGGACTTCCCCAATGCCTCCGTGGCCAACCCCTCCACCAGCCAGGCCTGGCTGGGCCTGCTCGCTGGTGCCCACAGCAGCCTGGACATCGCCTCCTTCTACTGGACCCTCACCAACAATGACACCCACACTCAGGAGCCCTCTGCCCAGCAGGTACCTGGCAACCTGGGCCCTGGCCAGTAGCAGGGGCGGTGGGAGGCATTGGCTGGGGGAGTGAAGGGGGTTCCCTTGTAGCCCGGGAGACAGGTGGGCACGTCTCAAACAGCAGGTTGGACACAGGTGTTTGGAAGCAGCTGTCTTCACATGGCCCTCTGGCCCGGGGGCGTTTGTCACGGTCATCTGGAGGCCTCTGAATGTCAGGGTGTGGGTTCGGTTACGAAGGATTAGGCTGGCAGATGTCGCTCGCCCGCAAGCTGCCCCAACCTTGTCCCACAAAGAAAGGGAAGAGCGGAGGGAGAGCTGAGCCTCAAGCCAGGCTGCCGCTTCCTACCTGTGTGACCCTGGGCAGGTCACCCCGCTGCTCAGACTTCAGTGTCCTCATCTGTAGAATGGGGCCGGTACACAGCACCTGCCTCTTGTGAGGACCAAACAGGTTAATCCATGAAAATGATAGCACGGGGCCTGACACACACTCAGCCTTTATAAATGTTTGCATTATATCCTTGTTAGGGCCTACAGATAATTTAAAAGACAGAAAATGTCAAGATTTGTAAAAGGGGGCCAGCCCCGTGGCCAAGTGGTTAAGTTCACACGCTCCGCTTCAGTGGCCCAGGGTTTTGCTGATCCTGGGCGCAGACATGGCGCCGCTCGTCAGGCCACGTTGAGGTGGCATCCCACATGCCACAGCTAGAAGGACCCACGACTAAAATAGACAACTGTGTACTGGGGGGATTTGGGAGAAAAAGTAGAAGGAAAAAAAAAAGAAGATTGGCAACAGTTGTTAGCTCAGGTGCCAATCTTTAAAAAAGAAATTTGAAAAAGAACAGCCTCAGTGGATAACCCCTTCTTTGAAAAATGCAACGAGCATGTCCCTTCTCTTTTTCCTCTCCCTGCTGCCTCTTTTTGTCAAAAGTGGGCTTAAAATTGGGGCCAGCCCCATGGTGTAGTGGTTAAGTTTGCTGTGTTCTGCTTCGGCGGCCCAGGTTTGCAGGTTCGGATCCCGGGCGCAGACCTATACCATTGGTCAGCCATGCAGTGGTGGCGATCCACATATAAAGTGGAGGAAAACTAGCACAGATGTCAGTTCAGGGCCAATCTCCCTCAAGCAAAAAAGGAGGGAGATTGGCAACTGCTCTTAGCTCAGGGCCAATCTTCCTCAGCAGAAAAAAAAAAAAATCTTAAGATTGTGGAGCTCCTTAGGCACTGCCTGAAAAAGGAATGAGAAAAGTTAGAAGCGATACGCATCCCACTCCCAGCTCACTCCCGCTGCAGTGGTTCAAAACACAGACACAGGAGGCAGACGGTCTGGATTCCAATCCTGCTTCCCCGTTGAGTTCTCGGGTGCCCCGCTTCCTCGTCTGCTCCTCAGGGACTAGACTCAGACCTGCCTCATGGATAAGAGTGCTAGGAATCCAGTGAGTTCAGACCCGAAGGGGCTAGAGCGGGGCCCGGCTCCCAGTAGGAACCAGGGAGTCGTGGGCTGTTGCCATTCCTGTTATTGGCATCATCAAACCTTACTCGTACATCCCCAGACCTCCAGCCTGCACCATGCCCTCAGCATCCCTCCAGCATTCTGTAAGATGCCTAGAGACCCCCGCAGAGCCAGGCTTGACCCTTCCAGAGCAGGATCTTGGGAAAAGTCCCTGGAAGGGCAGAAATGACAGGGAGGCCCTGGCAGGGTTCAGCGTGGCCAGTCATCAAAACAGAAAAAGAGAGGTTTTAATATCTTAACCTGTAAAGCCATCCCTAGGCGTCCGGGTGAACGTAAAGCCTGGTCCCTCCCGATCTCATCTAGAAGCCCAGTCTCAAAACAGCCCTGCAAGGGGCGCTGAGTGGGGTTGGAGAGCCGGCTGGCCTGGCCCCTCAGAGGCCCTCCCCTCCCCTCAGGGCGAGGAGGTCCTGCGGCAGCTCCAGACCCTGGCGCCGCGAGGTGTGAAGGTCCGTGTTGCCGTGAGCAAGCCGAACGGGCCCCAGCCGCAGGCAGACCTGCAAGCCCTGCTGCAAAGCGGTGAGCTCGAGGGCGGCTGGGGCGGGGGTGGGGGGCGGGCCTGGGGCTGCCCACGCCGGCCCCTGACCACCACCCCTGTCGGTTGCAGGTGCCCAGGTCCGCATGGTGGACATGCAGAAGCTGACCCATGGCGTCCTGCACACCAAGTTCTGGGTGGTGGACCAGACCCACTTCTACCTCGGCAGCGCCAACATGGACTGGCGCTCCCTGACCCAGGTCTGCCTGTGCCCTGCCCACCCGCCCTTCCAGGCCACTCCCTGCCCCACACGGCGCCCAGTCTCCAACTGCACCCCTCGTCATTCCCGGAGTCCCCTGTATCCAGTCTCTGCAGTGGCTTCCTCCCCACCTCCTACCCGGCCTCCCTGAATGTCCCCAAATCCAGCCCCCTACTCCCCTCCTCCTGCTCATGGAAGCCTGGTGTTCCCTCTGACCCCCCGTGGCAGCTGCCAGCCCCTCTCCAGGGCATTCAAGGCCCTGCCACCTGTTCAGCCTTCATTATTCATTCCGAGTGCCTGCTCTAAGCCCAGCTGTGTTCTGGGCAATGCTGGGAACACTGTGGTAACAGATGGACCTCTTGGATCCCAGTCCAGTGCGGAGACAGGCTGGTCACCAGGCAGCATCAGCCCAGAGAGGTCAAAGCTGGGATGGAGGAAGCACAAGCAGAGGGGTCAGGGCCAGGATGGGGGACCCAACCTGGGGTACCAGGGAAGGTCTCAGACCCAAGGAGATGACAGCTAATCTGATACCTAAAGGACCTGCAGGAATCAGCACAAGACAGGAAAGAGGTTCAGCTTAGGCAGTAGCATTTGCTCAACAAACATTTCCCAAGCCCCGAGTCTCACCCAGTCTGCGGGGAGATGCTGAAGATACAGCTATAGCTGAGCCATCCCCGGTGCCTGTGCTCCCGGTCCAATGGGGAGATGGGTTTGTCACCAGAGGGAGTGACGAGGGAAGCTCAAGGGGCCTTGAGAGCCCAGAGGAGTGCCTCACGTAATCTGGACAGTCAGTGGGGGAGCTTCCTGGAGGAGGAAACTGTCAGCTGAGACCTAAGAATGAGTTGGAGCTCACTTGATAGAGGGTAGAAGCAACAGCGTTTGCAACGCTTCAGGAGACCTGGTGCTTGGGGATAACTGATGATTTTCTCCAAAACTTGACTCAAGATTGAGGGGAAGGGGCAGGAAGGGAGGCCAGGGGGCCGGGGGTGTCCATGTCATCTGTGAGCACCAGGTCACTGACCCTGGGCTCAGCACTGCCCTCCCACAGGTCAAGGAGCTGGGTGTGGTCATGTACAACTGCAGCTGCCTGGCTCGAGACCTGACCAAGATCTTCGAGGCCTACTGGTACCTGGGCCAGGCGGGCAGCTCCATCCCGTCAACGTGGCCCCGGCCCTATGACACCCGGTACAACCAAGAGACACCGATGGAGATCTGCCTCAACGGAACGCCCGCCCTGGCCTACCTGGCAGTGAGTGTGAGGGAAGCGGGGCCTGTCACGCCCTGGCCACATGCATGGCCTCCGTCCCACCCGGCCCAGTGGCTGGAGGAGAGGGGGCTCCTGACCACCAGCCCTCACTCCTGCTCACTCTGTCAGGGGCCTGGGCTATGTCACAACCTCCCTAGGCCTCGGTTTCTTCTAGAAAATGGGTACCACAATATTTACAACCTCTTAGGGCCGAGAGGAGGTGCGGCTGGTCGGCACTGGCCGAGCGCCTGGTGAAGCTATCCAGGATAGCTGCGTTTGACTTTTTCCATTTAAATCAATTAAAATTAAATAGGGTTAAAAATGTCGCCCCTCGGTCACACTCGCCACATTTCAAGTGCTCAGTAGCCACCTGTAGCAAGTGGCTGCCATATAGGACTGTGCAGGGAGAAAACATTCCCGTCACAGCGGAAAGTTCTAGTGCACCACGCCGGCCATGGCCCGTGGCAGATATTGAGCACCATAGACGAGGCACTGCTGTTGTTAACTGTTGAAGTTTTCATGAGTTGGGGTGGCCAGCCTGGGTTCCCTTCAGTGCCCCCAGCAAGTCACCTGGCCATGCCCAGAGTTGTGGCTGAGGGTGCCACACAGCGGTGGATGCAGGGCCGCGTGACTCGCTGGGGTCCTTTGCTCCAGTGGTCTCCCGCAGGGGTCAGGGTTCGCCATTACCACTTCCCCTTTCAGAGCTTGAGTTGGCTTATCTGTCAGAAGGATGGAGGGAGCCGGGTTGAGAGGCTGGTGTGGCCCAGGCACACGAGGAGTGCTGGCAGGGTGGGCGGTGAGCAAGTCAGGGACAAAAGTGATTAGAGCAGAGGACCCCCAACCTGAGCATGCATCAGAAGCACCAGGATGGCTTGTTAAAACCCAGATTTCTGGGCTCCACCCTGGGACCCTGATTCAGTAGGCCGTGTGCAGCAAAGCCTAGAAATTTGCGATTCTAACAAGTTCCTGGGTGATACTGTTGCTGCTGGATTGGGGACCTTATGTCGAGAACCCCTGTGTTAGAGCATACATTCTGGAACCAGACAGCCTAGGTTGAAATCCTGGCTCCATTTATCAGCTGTGTGACCTTAGACAAGTCAGTTAGCCTCTCTGAGCCTCAGTTTCTGCACCTGCAAACTGGACATGGTAATTATCCCCTGCCTTCTTGGAGGCTGAGGATTCAGTGAGTCCCCGAGGAGCTGGCTTGTGATGAGCTGTCTGTACACGGGGTCCACTGTGGTGGCACCCCTGGCAGGGCATGTGTCTTGAGTGTCCCCTCGCCCCCAGAGTGCACCCCCACCGCTGTGTCCGAGTGGCCGCACCCCAGACCTGAAGGCCCTGCTCAACGTGGTGGACAACGCCCGGAGTTTCATCTACATCTCGGTCATGAACTACCTGCCCACTATGGAGTTCTCCCACCCTCACAGGTACCGCCGGCGCACGGCCAGGTTCCGGGCAGGGAGCCCCCGTGGGTGGACGAGGAGACAGGAGAGGGGAGGGTGGGGCCAGAAAGCAGGCAGGGGGACAGGTGGAGCGCAAGCCATGGGGAGAGCAGACAGAGGCAACAGGGAGAGGGGGTCTGGGCACCTGTGGCAGAGGAAAGAGGGACAGAGAAAAGGATGGGAATATTGGGGTTGGGGGCAGAGATGGGGGGCTGGAGGCCTGAGGCCAGGGATTTCCAGAGGGAGGAAGTAGGGAGCATGGGCTAGAAGCGGATGAGGGGCTGGGGGCCGAGAGTCCTGAGGTTTGGGGCAGCAGGGTTGGGGTCTGTGATCTGGGATAGGAAGAGGATGGTTGGGCTTGGGGGGCTCAGAGAAGGTGGTCTGGGGGCAGCAGACAAGGTGATGGGAAGACTGCATTAGGGGACTAGGAATGGGAGCCAGAAACAGAATGGGGGACTGTGCGATTTAAGGAGGCAGGAACAGGCCGGGGGCCAGAGATGGGGTGGTCTCTGGGTTGGGGGCTCTCGGAAGCTACAGCAGAGCCCAGGCCTGGCTCCCTGAAGCTGAGGGGGAGGCCCATGGGTAAAGCCGCCCTTCGCACCCTCACCCTCTCCCCGAGGTTCTGGCCTGCCATTGATGACGGGCTGCGGCGGGCTGCCTACGAGCGGGGCGTCAAGGTGCGCCTGCTGATCAGCTGCTGGGGACACTCTGAGCCCTCCATGCGGGCCTTCCTGCTCTCCCTGGCTGCCCTGCGGGACAACCACACCCACTGCGACATCCAGTTGGTAAGCACCCGCCCCAGCCCACCCCGCAGGCCCCATGCGGGACAGGCCTGGGGACACAGCCCTCGTGGAACTCACCTGTCACCTGACAGGGACAACCCAGAGTGACCTATGTTGGGATGGGGTGACCATGGGTCAGGGCTGGGATGGGGGGCCAGGCAGAGGGGTCGGGGCCGGGATGGGGGGCACAGGCAGAGGGGTCAGGGGCAGGATGGGGGGTCACAGGCAGAGGGGTCAGGGCCAGGATGGGGGTCACAGGCAGAGGGACCCACCCGAGATGGGAGTGCACAGGCAGAGGGGTCAGGGCTGGGATCGGGGGGCACAGAAGAAGCACCTGCAACAGTCTGAGAGGTCAAGGAAGACTTTCTGGAAAAGGGGACATCTGAGGTGAGACCTAAGGGACAAAAGGAGCCATTCTAGAAGTAATGGGGGCATGTGAGGCGACTGGATCCTCCCCTTTAGCCGGCGTTTCCTGAGCGCCCACCCCGCCGGCCCTGCTCTGGCCCGAGGGCTCCTGGGGAGCAGCAGAGACCCCGGCCCTGCAGACCTGCTTCCGCCCCCACCCAGGCCCTGGGGCTTCCCTCACCCCGCCCTGCATCCCCCACTTCTTCCCATTCTCCGCCCCCCTCAGAAACTCTTTGTGGTCCCTGCGGACGAGGCCCAGGCCCGCATCCCGTACGCCCGCGTCAACCACAACAAGTACATGGTGACCGAACGTGCCACCTACATTGGTGAGTGTCCCAAGGACTGCTGGGGGAACAGGAGGGGGGCCCAGGCCTGGCCACGGGCCCTGACTCTCTGCCCCCCGCCCCGTAGGGACCTCCAACTGGTCAGGCAGCTACTTCACGGAGACGGCGGGCACCTCGCTGCTGGTGACGCAGAACGGCCGGGGTGGCCTGCGGAGCCAGCTGGAGGCCATTTTCCTCAGGGACTGGGACTCCCCTTACAGCCATGACCTTGACATCTCAGCTGACAGTGTGGGCAACGCCTGTCGCTTGCTCTGAGGCCCGGTCCAGTGGACAGCCCGAGGCCTGCGAGGCCCCCGTGGACCCAGATGTCCTGGGTCCCGGTCCCTGTCCCCGTGCCCCCGCTTCTGTCTGCCCCGTTGTGGCTGTACCAGCTCTCTCCTGCTCTCCCACCTCTACCTCCACCCCCACCGGCCTGACGCTGTGGCCCCTGGACCCAGCCGAGCTGGGGGAGCGGTCTGCCCTCTAAGAAGTGGGGGTGCATGCTGGGCCCGGCCCCCTGGCCCACCCCCCTTCCCAGGACAAAGAGGGCCCAAGGTTAAAATAAGAAGTAAATAACTTGTCTGTACAGCCTGTGCCTGAGTGATGTGAGGTGGGGTGGCAGGGTGGGGACTGCTGGCGCTGGCCTCTGGTGGGGACATCTCTGAGCCCTCAGCGTGTGACCACTGGGGTTTGGTGTGTACTGAGCCCTCAGTGTGTGTCTGGCCTGTGCTGAGCACACAGCATGTGACTGGGGTGCGCTGAGCCCTCAGTGGGTGACCGTCATGGGCTGGCGTGTGCTGAGCCCTCCGTGTGCAATGCACGTGAGCCGGTGTGTGCAGAGCATGCAGCGTGTAACTGCATGGGCCCGTATGAACTGAGCTCATGTGACCAGCATGGGGTAGCGTGTGCTGCACAGTCAGCATGTCCTCAGCCAGATGAGCACACGCCGAGACACCGCCACCTCCCAAGGGTAGAATCGCATTTCAGAACGCTGGAGCGTGCACCGTGCGTGAATATGTGCCTGTCAAGTGAATTCACACACAGCATGTCCCCAGCACGGGTGAGTGTCTGCCAAGCCTGTGACGTGTGGCGAGGACAGGTCAACAATGAGACCTTGGCAGTTGGCACCTGTTCAACACTGAGAATGTTCTGAGGGTGGATTCTCGCGTGCCAAGCACTTACCATATTTAGGGGATGGGTCAGTGTGCCAAGCACAGCCTGTCCCTCTCAGCGTGACAGCAGCCCAGCCTCCAGCCCGAGCCAGTGGCCAACGGGGTGCAGCACCGGAGAGCAAGGCCCTGGCACCAGCCTGAACCCCACCCCAGCGCCAGTCCAAGCCTCGGGCAGGGAGCACAGGCCCGAGGCAGAGCTGCTGAACGGTTCTTTATTGAAATAGGCAGAGACAGCGGGGCTGAGGGCGTGCTCAGAGCCAGCAGGGTGCAGCCCCCTCCCTGCGTCTTTGGCCAAGGGGGCCATGGGCCAGACCCCAAGGCCCTTCTGTGTCCGGGGTGTGTGTGCAGGCATGCGCCAGGGGTGGGGGGAATGGGGAATTTCTGCATAACTGTCTTTCTGTAAGAATAATTTGTGGGTTCGGGGATAGCTCTGAGGAGGGGATGACACCCCAGCTAGCACAGCCCCCAGCAATGGGCAGCGGTGGGGTCACCATCAGTGGTGCCCGCCGACGTGCTGCAGAAAGCTGGTGGTCCGGGGTGGACCGTGTGGGTGGGTGTGGTGGGGCGGGAGCCCCTGAGCCCGTGGCCCCCTGACGCCCTCCAGGATCCAGTCTGGCTCACTCAGCCATTCCCCAGGACAGCTGCCAGGGTCGAAGAGGTCAGGGCCTGGCCTCTGTGGGAGAGAAGAAAAGAGGGCCTTCAGCCAAGAAGCCCCCAGCCCTGGGAACAACCAGCCTGCCCCCTCTCCTGTCCCAGCTGAGCCCTCCTTACTTCCTGGGGACTTAAGTGATGTGTGCTGAGACCCTTAATGTGTCCTGAGGGTATGTTACTGTCTCCGAGGCTTTGCCACATCTTCCTGAGGGTGGGAGAGCCTGTGTTCAGGCCATGTTCTGAGTGCCAGGCCTGCGTCACCTTCTGTAGGTGGATTACTCTGTTCTGAGTTTGTACACGGCCTGAAGGTGCATTCGTATGTACTGAGCGTCACCCATTGTAAGGGCAGGCGAGGGTGTGCTGAACTTTATATCCTGAATATACGTTCATGTTTGCTGAGCCTTATCAAATCCGAATCAGAGCCCGAATAGACATTCGTGTTTGCTGAGCCTCGTCCCAGCCTCAGGGTGGGCTAGTGTGTGGGAGACCCTGAGCCAGCTGCAGGCTGTGCAGATGTGTGGGAGGCAAGGCCGGGCTCACCGTGCCTCCATCCTGGAGCTCAGAGGGCAGCGCAGTCTCAGAGCCACCTGCAGCCTGCCCGCCCACCCAGCTTACCTCAGCATCCATGGTCAGATCCTTGATGTCCGGCCCATCGCCGTCCCGCTGAAGGATGGTGGGCGGCTCGGCGGAGGCCCCGCAGCGCTCTCCCTCCTCCCAGCCGCTGCCCCGGCAGGGCCCGTCATCCTCCGGTGAGGCCTGGCTCAGCTGGATGAGGTTGCTGAAGCCGGAGTCAGACTTGGAGCCGATGGGCAGCTTGCGGGCCTTGTGGCGCCCTGCCAGGCGGCTGCCGTAGAAAGCCAGGATGGGCTCGGGGCCCGAGTCGGGCCCCCGGCGGCCAGCGGCAGCCGCCTTGAGCGGGGCCAGCATGTCGGGGACCGCATCAGTGCAGGTCTCACCCCACAGTCCATGGCCTGCCTCCTGCAGACTCAGGTCGTCTAGCTGGTCGATGGCCCTTTGCATGCCCGGGGCCTTCTCCTCGCGGAAGAAGGACCCGCTGCCCGCCACACTGCCCATGCCCACGGCCTCCTCCTCCTCGGCCAGCCGGTAGTAGGGGGGCCCGTCTTCTGCAGCGGCCACGACGGGCGTGGGGGGCTTGCCCTCCACCTGCAGCGAGAGGCGGCAGCCGCGCAGCGAGAGCTGGTAGTAGCGGGTGGTCTCGTGGGCGCTGCGCAACTGCTGCATGGACACGAAGGGGTGGCGCAGGGCCGCGCTTGGGCTGATGCGCTCGTGCGACTCCCATGTCAGCATGCGCTTGATCAGCTCCACCATGCTCTTGAGGTCGGCGTGCTCGGCCAGCGCCTCGCGGTCCGGGAAGTTCAGCCGACTGGCTGCCCCGCTGCCATTCACCGTCTCAATCTGGTCCAGAGACTTGAGCATGTACTTGCGACGCTCCAGGGGCCGCACCTGGTGGGACACGGGGTCAACGCGGAGTTCAGGCACAGATGACCCCCCGACCCCCCACCGCTTCCAGTCTGCCCTCCAGTCTGGTCCAGAGCTCTCTTGTTGCTGTGAAGGCCACACACCTGCGCCCTGACTTCCAGTGCTGCCTGTGGTCTGACTTGGAGCTCTCCTGCTGCTGGGAGGGCCACACCTGCTCCCTAACACCAGACCCCCTCCAGGCTAATCCAGAGCCCTCCTCCTGTTGCACAAAGACCCCTGACTATGTTCTTTGGTCCTCCCATCATCCAACCCGGAGCTCTCACTGACCCCAGACCCCCAGTCCTCTCCAGAGCCATGGGTCCAGCCCCTACTAGCTGCTAGCAGAGGGGCCTCCCTAAACCGCGAGTCCTCCTTGGAATTAAATCCAGATCCTTCTTGCTGCTACAGCCCCCACAGCCGATCCCAGCCCTCCGCACCTCCCAGTGGTCGCACCTCGTCACACTAGTTGGACAGCCCCAGCCATGGAGCCATCAGAGAAGCCGCCAGACACTTTGAGTCCCACCTTCGGTCTCACCCAGACCTCTCTTGCTGTGATAACCGCTACAGCCGACCCCCAAGCTTCCAGTCCTCCCTGAGGTCTAACCTAGATTTTTTCATGATGCAGCAGCCCTCCCACTGACCGCCTTCCCCCCGCCTGGCCGCTTACCTTGGTCTCGGCCAGGTAGTCGGCCGAGGACTTGAGCTGCCAGGGGTTGGTGGCGTCAGGGTGGGGGTTGCGCTTGAAGAAGTGGTGGGCCTTGCGGGCGGCGTGCAGCAGGTGGGGCTTGGGCAGGCCCTGGGTCTCGCAGATGTAGCGCACCTGGTCGTACTCGTTGTTGCCTGGGTAGAGGGGCCAGCCCAGGTGCAGCTCGGCCATGACGCAGCCCAGGGACCACACGTCCACCTTCTCGCAGAAGGGCAGCCCCAGCAGGATCTCGGGTGCCCGGTAGAAGCGCGACTGGATGTACGGCTCCTTCACGTAGCGCACCTCGCTGAAAATGCTGGCTGAGCCGAAGTCGATCACCTGAGTGGGAGGAGGGAGGCAAGTGGGCAGGGCGGGGAGTAGGGACAGCCAATCTGGGCCTCCCCGGCATCTCTCATCGGGGTCTTTTGGCATCTGTCACCGTCTGTCCCTGTGCCTGTGAGTCTTTCTCTCTCGTTTGTGTCCCTGTCTGCCTTCTCCAGCCTTTGTCTCAGGTTTGTGGGTTTGTCTGTCTGTCTCTGTTTCTCACCACTAGAACTGATGCCGAGGAGGGTGAGGATCCCTCTCTCTCACACCACACCTCCATCAGCAGATCTGGTTCTGCTGAGATCTGATTCTGAACAGATCTAGAATCTGCTCACTCTGCAGTCCCTCCACAGCCCCCACTTCGGGTGTATCCTCCAGCATCTCCTGTACAGGCTAACGGAGGGGGCTCCTCGCGGGTCTCCCTGCTCCCCTTTCTGCCCCCCAGACTGCTCCTCACATGCACCTGAGGGATCCTGTGAACACCAGGGTCAGATCACATCCCTCCCCAGCTCAGAGTCCTCCTGTGGCTTCATCACATTGTGTGATAAAAGCTGCAGTCCCCATGGCCTGCGAGGCTCCAGCTACCTGCCCTGTCCCCTCTCTGCCCTCAGCAGCTCCCACGTCCCCCTCACCCACCCTGCCTTGGTCACACGGGCCTCTCACTGTTCTTTGAACCACCCAGACACATTCCCAGCTCAGGGCCTTTGCACTGGCTGTTCCCACTGCCTGGAATGCTCATCCCAAAGATCTCCACATGGCTTCCTCTCTCACCTCCTTCGGTCTTTACTCCATGTCACTTTCTCAGTGAGGCCTCCCCTAACAGTCCCATCCTTCCCGTCCCCCTCCTGCCTTCTGTTTTTCCCCATAGCTCCTAACACCATTTCACATCCTCTCTGTTTTACTTTCATATCGAGGCCATGGTTCCTCCACCCATCTAGAATGTCAGGCCCACGAGGGCAGGGACTTTGACTGTTCACGGCTGTGGCCCTAGATGCCTAGAACAGTGCCTGGCTCCCAGCGGGGGCTCAGGAAAGAGTGAACGAATGGGCCTTTGTCCCTGTCATTCTCATTCTTTCTGTCTCTTGTGTCTCTCTCTCGTTCTTTCTTTGCCTCCCCCTCACTCGTCTGGATCTTTCATCTCTCAGCGTCTCTCTCCATCTCCAACCCCGTGTCACACACTAGGAAGACACCTCCTTGAAGCCCATGTCCTCTTCTGCCTTCGTTGTTACACGGCACCTCCATGATCTACCTTGGTCCCTGCCTCAGTTTCCCTCTCTGAGTTTCTCTGCTTTTCATCCATCCATCCCTCACCTTCTCTTTTTTTTTGAGGAAGGTTAGCCCTGAGCTAACATCTGCTGCCAATCCTCCTCTTTTTTTTTTTTTTTGCTGAGGCAGACTGGCCCTGGACTAATATCCGTGCCCATTTTCCTCTGCTTTATATGTGGGACACCTGCCACAGCATGGCTTGCCAAGCAGTGCCATGTCTGCACCCAGGATCTGAATCAGCGAACCCTGGGCCACCGAAGTGGAATGTACGCACTTAAACGCTGCACCACTGGGCCGGCCCCTCACCTTCTCTTTGTAGAAGGCGGTATGAGGAAATGGTTATTAATCTGGATTCTGAACACAGGCTGCCGAGGCCTGAATCTCGGAGAGCTCGAGTGACCCTGAGCACACAGTCAACGTGTGTGGGATTCATTCACACATTCATTCATTCCACAGACACGGTAGGGGTGCCCATGCTGGCCAGGTGCTGTGGATCTGTCCGATCTCTTGGAGCAGAATGATCTGCCTTTTCCTGTCTCTGAATCACTGTGTGTCTCTGACACTCGTCTAGCACTGACTCCGTGACAGTGCTGTGCCTGGAGAGGCCGCGGACACCGTGGTGACCACCTGCCTCACGGTGCTCCTAGTTCAGCCCCATCACCAGACAGTAACAAACCCACCAGCAGACAGAGGGGTCAGGGTCGGGATGAGGGAGGCCAGGGGCCTCCAACGGAGCAGAAGAGGCACCTCTGCGTGCTCAGCACAGGTCAGGCCCAGAGCAGGCATTCAGTAAATGTTTGTTGATGGACAAAATCACTGAGATGAGGAATCGCGCAGGCCACCATCCTTCCAGTTGCTCAGGCCAACAGCTTTCGTCTCAAATCCTCTCTTTCTCTCTCACAGTTCGTATAAGATTTGCCAGAAAGTCCTGTGGTCTTGAGCTCCAAAATCTACCCAGAACCCACCCGTGTCCGCTCTTCCCACTACCCTGACTCTAGTCCCACCCACCCCCATCTCCCACCTGGGCCAGTACAGTAACCCCTCCCCATCTCCTCGCTCTTGCCCCCTCACAGTCTGTTCCTGCACACAGCCAGAGGGACCCTGTGAATGAAGACCTGAGTCAGATCACACCCCTCCTCTGCCCAGGATCCAGGAGACAACCAAAGTCCTCTCTGTGGCCCACAAAGCCCTGTATGACCGGCCCCAGCACTCCCTGATCCCATTTCCCCCCTCTTCACCTCAGTTACTCTGCTTAAGCCACACTGGCCTCCTTAGTGCTCCTCAAACACATCTTCTCGGCTGACTCCTACCTCAGGGCCTTTGCACAGGCTCTTCTTTCTAGCCAGACACTTTCCCCAAAATGTCTGCACAGCTCCCTCTCTCCTTCAGGACTTCCCTGAAGTGTCACCTTCTCAGTGACGCCTCCTTGATCACCGTGTCTAAAGTTTCACTCATCACCACCAGCCCCGATCAACACCCCACATCCTCCCCCTCCCTACTTATCTGTTCTGCTTCTCACTCACATACTGTACTTTACTCGTCTATCTTGGCAACTCTGTCTCCTCCACTAGAATGTCAGCCCCACAAGGACAGGACTGGGCCAGAGAAGCTGGGCTAAGAACTGAACAAGGATGGGGAGACCTCAAGTCTGGGAGGGAAAGGGTGTCAGCAGTGGGATGGGGAGATGGGAAGGATTTCAGGGCCAGGAGGTGGGGAGAGGAATCGTGGACAGGGAGGAGGAAACACCAGGGCTGAGAGGTGGGAAAGGGAGAGTCAGTATCAGAAGAGCGTCCAGGGCTGGGGGAAGCTGGGAGGCCACGGGGACAAGGGACACTGCGGCCCTCCGGACAGCCCCACTCACCTTGACCCTGAAGGGGCAGCGGGTCTGGTCCACCAGCATGATGTTCTCGGGCTTGAGGTCGGCATGGATGATCGCCAGCTCCTTGAGCCTGGCCAGGGCCCTGAGCACCTGCAGGGTGACCGTGCGGATGTGGCGGGCGGGGAGGGGCGCGAAGTTGTTCTCCTTCTGGAATTCGAAAAGGTTTTGCTCCAGCAGCTCAAAAACCAGGTAGAACTTGAGGGCGTCGTGGAAGAACTCGAGGAAGCGGATGACGTGGGCCTCCTCGGGGTCCAGGCCCCTCATGCAGCGCAGCAGCTTCAGCTCGTTCTTGATAATGCGGTTGCGGTAGGCGTCATTCTTGAGGATCTTGATGGCCACCATCTCGCCCGTGCTTCGCCGCCAGCCCTTGGCCACCTCCCCGAAGGTGCCCTTGCCCAGCACCTCGATGATGTCGTAACAGTCAGTCTCCGACTGGATGGTGGCCATGGTGCCCCTGCTGCCAGACACTGCCTGGCCACCACCCCCACCCCGCAGGCTCTGCCTCCGAGGCCACCTGCCCCGTCGCCGGCCCCAAGACCCTCCCAGCGGGGGAAAGAGAACGGCACACGTGCCTCCCCCGATGAGGTTCGCCCCCGCCTCCCTGGCACTCCCCAGCCCGCTGGGCCGCACGGCGAGTCTGCCAGGGGCTGCACCCCACCCCTGAAGCCCTCTCAGCATGGGACGAGGGGCCCCACGCCCCCCTGAGTGGGTTCCAGCGTTGCTGAGTGGCTCTGGTTCTGTTGTCGGAGACCCCAGCCGCTGGCTGGAACGGGGGCTGGGGTGGCAGGTCCAGCCCCTCCCCCGCCCAGCAGCAGAACCCTGCAGGTGACAGGTGAAGGGTCAACGGATCGCGGACCTCAGGCAGATGGGAAGGGGACATTCCTACGATAGACAGAGGAAAGGCAGGCTTTCGAAGCTAGGGGGATTGTGTGTGTGTGTGTGTGTGTGTGTGTGTGTGTTCACAAAACTCTTCCCCTATCTGGGACTGCCGTGGGCGAGGTATGGCTGGAGAAGGGCCAGGTCGTAAAAGGTCTTGAACGCCAGGCTAAGGAGTCTGGACTTTGTTCTGAGGGCACTGGGGAGCCACAGAAGGGCTTTGAACAAGGGAGGGCCGGGTCAGGTTTGAGTCGGAGAAAGCTACTGTGTGAAGCAGAGTGGGTTGGAGGGGGCAAGAGTGGGGGCCCCGAGCCTGGAGCAGGGCCCAGCGGGGAGAGGCTGGGGAGGAGGGAAAGGAGGTTGGTGGATGAGACACTCCGGAGACCAGGAGGCCAGGCTGTGGGACGGACAGGCGGAAGGAAAGAAGGGAGCCGTTCAGGACAAGGCCCAGGGCTCTGGCCTGGGTAATGATGGATGGTCCCTGGGATGGGGACAAGGACAAGGAGCACATTAGGGGAGGGGATGCTGAGGTCAGATTAGGAAATCTAACACTGAAACATCTAAACGTGTGCTGAGTGCTTTAGAAGCCTTAACTGATCCTGACCACATCCATCTTCATAGCTCCATTTTATGGAAGAGAAAATCGAGGCACAAAGGCTTAGACCCCAAGCAGTCTGGCTCTAGAGCGCAGCTCCAAACCGCAGCACCCACCCATCCTCCCAGGGCCCAGGAGACACCCAGGGCAGGCGTGCAGAGGCCACTGGATCCCCATGGGCCCAGGAGAGAATTTGAGAATTGTCGGCACAGAGGTGAGGAGTGGAAGCCGCAGGGAAGGTGACACGGCTCAGGGAGGGTGTGGGGTGGATGATGAGGAGAGAGAGGAGGAGTGGGGAAGAGAGAGAAGAGAGCCTTCGTGAGGAGGAAGGGGCCCTAAGAAGTCAGGACAAGGGAACAGAGGAAACCCCTGGGGTGGCCATGGAGAGGTCACTGCGGACACCAACAAGTCAGCCGTGGTGGGAGGAAAACCCCAAATGCTGGGCTGGGCAGAGGGTGCGCACCATGAATGTTAATGACTCCTCCATGTTTGGTGGGGACGAACAGAAAGCGTGTGACAGGCTAGCCGGCTTGAAGGGAGAAGGTGGAGTAGGTGGGGAATCCATGACAAGTCAAGGAAGGGCCTGGCCCTCCATCCGCTGGGGTGGGAGGGCAGAGATGTGAACAGAGTGGCAGATATGGGGCATCGGGGGAGATCTGTGACCGGACACTGTGCTGTCTTAGTCCCGTCTGGAGCATTGCAGAGAGACGTGGGGGAGGCTGGAGGCCCTGGTGAGGGCTTAGATCCTGAATGGGGACGGGTCCCTGAGAGCCGAGGCCCAGCCTCCACGGGGGCTGAGGACCCCGGGACCTAGTCCTAAGAGGTGGCCAGGTGTCTGCTGGAGGCTCTGAACCCGTGAGCCTGGAGAGGGGACCAGGAAGAGCCTTCCTGGGTGGGGCTGGGGTGGACCGGGCAGTCAAACCAGCCAGACAGGAAAGGGACAGCCAGGATGCGGGGGTGTTCTTGGCGGTGGGGAGGCGGCCAGCAGAGGACAGGTGGATAACCATCACTCTGTTCTCTAGGGCCCCCAGGGCTGTCCTGCCAGGAGTGGGTCCCCAGGACAGGCAGAGTCCCCGACAGAAAGGTCCCACAGCTGTGCTCTTCCAGGAACTTCCCAGACGCCTGCTCAGAGGCCCCTGGTAATTCTGAAGGACTAAGGCAGGCTCCCTTCCTACCGGGCCCAGCCCATGGCCTCCGTGACCTCCTCAGACCAGGGGTGGCCTATGTCACCCACACACAGGCTCCCCTCAGGCCAGGCTCAAATCGCCCCTCCTTCCTCCTCAGGGACTCCTTGTGTGCACCCCCCCCCCCCCCGGTCCCCTCCCGCACAAGGAGGAGACAGACTCAAGGCTACCTCTGGATTACTTTATTCACATGGCTTGGCAAGATACAGGCTCTCCTGCCAATGAGCTGGGCACGGGGCCTCCCTGGCCCTGCCCCGTCAGTCGCCCCCCCTCCCGGCCCTCTGGGGTTAGTGCTAGTTATCTCACACACAAACAAGGGGGAGGCTGATGGGAAGACGGGAGTGGTCTCCCTCTGCCCGGGGCTTCAGACGACGGCAGCCTGAGCCCCCTCCATCCTGGTGGGGCCTGGAGCCCCTGTCTCCGAAAACCCCACGCTGGGCAGCCGAACCCGGAATCCACTCTCTTCCTGGTCCCCACTCCTGCTCGCGGCCTTGGGGCTTAGGGACACCCGGGGGAAGCGGAACTTGGGGGACTTCTCCCCGCCAGGGGACTTGGGGGCTGCCTCACCCTCCTGCCCCCGAGAGGCCTTGGAAGGGCTAGCCAGGCCCACACGGGGCAAGCGGACTCGGACGCGGCCTCGGCGCCCGGAGGCCCCTTCCCCGCTGCCCTCCTCTTCCTCCTCCTCTGGGCTGGGGGAGCCCTCCCCGGGGACCGCCTCGCTCTGGCTGAAGCCCACGCGGGGCAGCCTGAGTTTGGGGCTCTTGGCCTTCTCGCCCTCCTCAACCCCGTCCTTGGCCCGCGCCAGGCCAAACCGGGGCAGCCGCACCTTGAGCTTGTGTCCAGCATCCCCCTCACCCTCTGCCACCTGGTACTCGGCATGGCTGCCCACGGCGGGTGGCGAGAGCTCCACGTCGGGCAGCGAGAGATGGAAGGTGCGCTCAGCCCCCGGGGACTGGTCCCCAGGCCGCTCTCCCCCAGCCCCAGCTCTGGCCCCCAGCGTGGGCATCTTCAGCCTCGGCCCACCTTCGCCTGTGGCTGCCTCACCCACCTGCGCCTCTCGGCTCAGCCCCACGTCCAACTCAAGTTGGGGCACTGTCACTGCAGGCATCTTGAAGACGCCCTCACCCACCAAGAGCTCACCGCCCGCCGCCTGGGCTCCAGGCAGAGACAAGGTCACCTGAGGCACGTGGACCCTGGAGCCTGCCGTGCCCTCTGCTGGAGGGGCTGCACTCTCGGCCTGCTGCCCCGGGGTGGCCTCCCCAAAGCTGGCCAGCTCCACCTGGGGCAGGGAGATGCCCAGGGGCATCCTCAGCCCCCCGTCCTGGCCCTCAGTGCCCACTTGCCTGGTCGTGGATGCTTGCAGGCCTGAAAGCCGTACTCCACTGACAGCCACTGCCCCCTCGGCGCCCCCTTCCTCCTGGGCCCCCAGCGTGACTAGCTCCACCTCGGGGATCTTCAGCTGCCCCGCCGTGGACTCTGACTTTTCTCCAGGGCTGACACGCTCACCCTGGATTTCTGCTTCCTTTCCTCGAGTCAGTCCAAAGGAGGGCATCTTCAGCTTGGGCATCTTCACCCTCCCATCCCAACCCCAGCCCTTGCCCTCCAGCTCGGCCACCCCCGGCACTAATTCTCCCGCCTCGGTGTCCCGGCCTCTGACCCCAAACTTGGGCAGGGCGAACCTGGGCCCCTTGAGCTTCACGTCAGCCCCGGCCACCTCCACCTTGCCCGAGGGCAGATGGGCATCCAGGCTGACCTGCGGGATGGACAGATCGAGGGCGGGCAGCAGGCCCGCCTCGCCTGCCCCTTTGGCCTCAGCCTCAGTCCCGGCCCGAGCCTTGGGGAGGGAGAGGGCAAACTTGGACACCTTCATCTTGGTGGCCCGCCCGGCCCCCTCAGCCTCTGCCTTTGCCACCTTTGGCCCCGAGAGTCCAAACTTGGGCAGGGAGAACTTGGAGGCTGGCTTGCCTTTCATCTCTGTCACCTCCGGCCGCCCTTCCCCAGCCTCCACGGTGGGCAGCTGTGGAGTGACGATCTCAACAGTCGGCATCCGGAAGGCCCCTTCCCCGACCCCTGCTGCCACCCCGGGGCCCTCTGCCCGCTCCGCCTTGCCCGCTTCTGCTGCTGGGACCTGCCCCTCCAGGCTGAGAGCCCGTGGCAGGTCCAGCTCCACTGAGGGCAGTGTGAGAGAGGGGACCCCCACGCGAGCCTCGCTGCCCACCTCTGGCTGCAGACAGGGGAGTGTCACCAGCTTCCCCGAGCCCTCAGCCCCTGCCTCGCCTGGCTTGCCTCGTGATGGGGACCCCGCCCTCCCTAGCTTGGGCATGGTCACCTTGGGCATCTTGAAGCCAAATTCCATCCCCTCTGCCTGCTCCGCCCCAGACGCTTTGAGCTGCCCCTCTGGAGCCTTGGGCAGCTTCACCTCGGGGGGCTTCGGAAGATGCACCTCTGGGATCTTTGGCGCCCGCACTTCTGGCAGCCGCATCTCCGACACCTTTGGCAGCTGCACCTCTGGGAGGCGCACGTCCGGCACGGCCATCTCGGGCACCTTGGGGAGTTTTAACTCCGGGAGCTTCATCTCGGGGACTTTCATCTCTGGGACTTTTGGCAGCTGCACCTCTGGGAGTTGCACATCCGGCACGGCCATCTCTGGCATCTTCGGGAGCTTCATCTCTGAGACTTTTGGCAGCTGTACCTCCGGGAGTCGAACCTCTGGCACGGCCATCTCTGGCACCTTCGGGAGCTTCATCTCGGGGACTTTCGGCAGCTGTACCTCCGGGAGCTGAACCTCCGGCACGGCCATCTCGGGCACCTTCGGGAGCTTCATCTCGGGCACCTTTGGGAGTTTCATCTCGGGCAGCTTCACCTCAGGGACTTTTGGCAGCTGTACCTCTGGGAGTCGAACCTCTGGCACGGCCATCTCGGGCACCTTCGGGAGCTTCATCTCGGGCACCTTTGGGAGCTTCATCTCAGGGACTTTTGGCAGCTGCACCTCTGGGAGTCGAACCTCTGGCACAGCCATCTCGGGCACCTTTGGGAGCTTCATCTCGGGGACCTTTGGCAGCTGCACCTCTGGGAGTCGAACCTCTGGCACGGCCATCTCAGGCACCTTAGGGAGCTTCATCTCGGGCACCTTCGGCAGCTGCACCTCTGGGAGTCGAACCTCTGGCACCGCCATCTCTGGCACCTTTGGGAGTTTCATCTCCGACACTTTTGGGAGCTCCACCTCTGGGAGTCGCACTTCTGGAAGGGCCGCCTCGGGCACTTTGGGGAGCTTCACCTCAGGCGCCTTGGGTACCTTGACGTCAGGCGGCGAGACCCCAATGCCAAGGGAGGGCATCTTGATGGTGGGCAGCTTCAGCTTGCTCTCGACAACGGCTTCAGGGGCAGCGGGCCGGGGCTCCAGGAGAGAAAGCCCGAAGGTGGGCATCCGAAGCCTGGGCCCCTTCACCTTGGCCTCGGGGATGCCCTTGGCCACCTTGGCCTCAGGAACTTCCTTTGCTCGAGCCCCAAAGCGTGGGAAACTGAGACGGGGCATCTTCAGGGCCACCTCAGGTGCCTCTGCTGGAGCCGCCACCTCTGCGCCCGGCAAGGCCAGGTCCACCCCCACTGAAGGTGCTGCCACTTCCAGAGTGGGCACCACCACCGCCATGGCCCCTTCCCGGGTCTCCAGGCATGGAAGTGTGGGCAGAGTGGGTAGCGAGGGCAAGGGAGGCAGCTCCACTTGGGGGACCTGGATCCCCACGGCCGCGGGCTCCACAGGAGGCGGAGCTGGGGCTCCCAGCCCAAGGGTCGGCAGGTGGAGGGCAAAGCCGCTGACTGCCTCCGCTGCGGGGGCCACCTCCCGCGGCCCCTTGGGGGCTGAGACCTGGAGGACACCCACTTCAGCGCCGGGCAGCCGGGGCCCAACCAGCTCCACCTGGGGGGCCGTGAAACGGGCTCCCGCTGCCACCTCGGCCTCCTCTTTGGCTTTCCTGGGGGGAGGAGCGGCAGCGGCCAGCCGGGCTGCCTGGGCCTCCTCCGCCACTTCTCGGACGCGCAGCCGAGGCAGCTGGAGGCGCCGGCGGGTGGGGGCGGCTGGGACAGGACCCTTGACAGCCTCGGCTTTGAGGCCCCGACGCAGACGGGAGAACTTGGGGAAGGAGAATTCGACATCAATGGGGGCCAGGTCTGCAGGGGACCCCAGGGCCCCGGGCACCACCATCTTCTTCTTCTTCACAGGGGACAGACTCTGGATGTTCTGGGGAGAGAGGAGAGAGGCTGGAGGCAGTGGGACAGTGGGGAGGCTTGGGGTGGACAGGGGGAGCCCCAGCTGGTATTGTACCAGGCTGGGGATGTGTTGGATTGAGCATTTGTCCCCAAAACAGCGTCCCCACTTCCTGGCATTTCACCATTACTGGCCCAGAAAGCAAAGACGCTCATTTAGAATCTCACAGTGAGTCAAGAGGAGTGTGGAAACTGGGACCCAAGACTTCTGGATCCTCGTCCAGGATTTTCTCCGATACCCTCATTCTAGAGATGGGGAAACTGAGGCCCAAGGAGGGAAAGAAACTGGCCCAGGGTCACTCCCAAAGTGAGCAGTGCTCCGAATGGGACCTGGCCTCCCTGGTTGGGAGTCCGCTGTTCAGGACCCCTGGTGAGCCTGGAGCTGAAGGTGGGGATGCCGCTACGAGGCAGGTGAGGACTCTGGTCTGGGATGGGTGGGTCCCCCTCCCCAGGGAGGAGTTCTGGGGCAGAGAACAGGAGGCAGAAGGTGGGATTAGCGCTGGGTTAGTGAAGAGACAGGGCAAGGGTGGCCCACGGTGTGGGGGCTCACGGTGCCGAGCCGGGATCGCTGGGGTGGTCCAGGGCTGGGGCCGGGCTAAGCACGCGTACCAGCTTGGCCACCTTGGCCCGCGGGCCCTTGATCTCGTAGCCGGCCACGGTCCCGGGCCGCAGCGCCAGGTCCCCGGTGGGCACAGTGCGCTTCAGGCAGAAGGAGACCTTGTAAGGCTCGGCGCATTGCAGCAGGCGTAGCGCGTCCTCGTACTTGAAGTTCTCGAAGAACACGCGGGCGCTCAGCAGCTGGTCCCCTGCAGACGAGGTGGAGGTGGGCAGGGCGTGAGCATCTCAGGGCTCTGCGCTAGCCTTGTTGCACCGGCTTCCCCGGAGCCAGCGCAGCGAGGCCACGCCCCAAATTTCGGCCCCGCCTATCCCCGAGCGCAGGATCCAGACGCAAAATTCCTCCCTGTTCGAGATGGGACACTTAACAACGAAGCCCCACCCCTTGCCTTAGCTCCGCCTCCCCGACTGAGCAAATCCACGCCCACTCAGGCCACGCCCATCGCCTTTGCACTCCCCTCCCCCATCTTCACTTTTCAGACGCTGACTTTGCTCCCTTTACTCAAAAAACAGAATCAGAAAAGAACTTCCAGAAGCTCCCACCCCATTACTCACCCCCCTGCTCCTGTGGCAATTTACTCCACTCTCTACTCTTCCTGGGGATGAAGTGTCCCCACTCCTAGCTCAGGTCAATTCCCTCCACTGTCTTCTCAGGGCCATCTGCCAGCAATTCGCCTCTCTCTCCCCACATCATCAGTTTGTCCCTCTCTTCTACGTTATTCCCATCAGCACACAACATACCATTATTTCTCCCATAAGAAACGTTGTCTTGACCTCACTCCTCCTGGAGCTCCCGCCCCACTTATCTGTTCACCTTAAGGGCAAAATGCATTGAGTTGTCTAGCTGCATTATTTCCATTTCTCCAATCACACTTCTGACACCCCTTCCTGGAACCATGAACTGCCCCTCTCAAGGTCCCACACAGTGACCTCTGTGTAGCTAAGTCCAGTGGTCAAGTCCCAGACTTCATCTACTTGAACCCCTCAGCCTTTGACCCAACTTCGCTCTCTCTTCTTCATCCACTTGCGTGGCTTGGCTTCCAGGGTGCCACATCCTCTGGAACATCTCTGCAGGATCCTTCTCAACCTCCTGGGAGGGTTCCTCCCCATCTCCCGACCTCTTAAAGACACAGCGTCCCAGAACTCAGGTCTTGGACCTCATCTCTTCTCCATCTACTTGCTACACTCACCCCTTTGTGAAGCGCATCCAGATTCAAGAGTTTAAAGATCATAAATATGCTGACAACTTCCAAGAATCTCCCTCCAGGTGAGCACTCTCCTCTCCATCCTGGACTCATATATCCAACCAGCCCTCCACGTGTCCACCTTGGTGTCCAACAGACACCTCTCATCTGACAGATGCAACCTGTACTCCTGGTCTTCCTCCAAACGAGCTCCAGTCCCAGTGTCCCCCATTTGTGGTGCTACCAACTCCATCCTCATATCAAGAATCCTTAGATACATCCCTGACCCCCTGACCCCTCTCTTCGCATCACACCCCATATGCAGGTTGAAGGCTCCTCCTTCAAAATATATCCAGAATCCAAACCCTTCTCTTCACCTCCAATAACACCATTTTGGCCCTGAGCATCATCATCTCTTACCTGGATAATCACAGTAGCCTCTTTGTGGTCTCCCTGCTCCCTACCCTGCCCCCCTACAGTATATTGCTAATACAGAAGTTCAGCGCGGTCCATTCATGCTCCTCCTCCACTCACCACCCTCCCAGATTAAAAGCCAAAGTCCTCACATGGCACATAAAGCCCTCTAAAATCTGCCTTTCTCTTACCTCTCTGGCCTCATCTCTTACTTTCCTCTTCACTAACTCTATTCCATCCACACTGGCTTCCTTGCTCTTCCTCCAACAAGCCAGGCGCGCTCCCACCTTGGCGCATTTGCACGGGCTGTTCTATCCTCCTAGAATGCTCTTCCAGATGGCCACAGAGCTCTTTCCTTACCTCCTAGGCCTTTCCTCCCTTCCTGGCTCGTCCTATTTAAAAATGCAGCTTCCATCCTGGCATCCTGAGCACGTACTGCCTTCTAATTCACTATGTATTTTACATATTTTGCTTAAATATGTCTGTCCCCACTAGAATGTAAGCTCCATAGGTGCAGAGAGTGTTGTCTGTTTTGGTCACTGCAGGAACCCAAGCACCTAGAATAATATCTGGAAAGAGAAGGCCCTTAGCACATCACCGTTGCATGAATAAATCGCATCAGCCTCATCCATGTTACCTGAAACAGCCCTTACTTACTAAGCTCGCCTCCCCACCCCTCCAAGCTGACTCCACCTCTTTTCTCCAGCCCCAACAACAAAAATAACTAGCACTTAGGTAGTGCTTACTATGGGCCATTTAGCTATGTGCTAAGTGTTTTCAAATACTGACTCATTCAATCCACATAATAACCCTATGAGGTAAGGACTAGAATTATTCCCACTTTAGAGATGAGAAAACTGAAGCACAGAAAGATCGCAAGCTAGTAAACTGCAGATCTGGGAGTCGAACCGAGACAATGTGCCTCCAGAGCCCCCTGTGAGCAACTGCAACGCCGACACACAAAGCCCCGCCTCAAGCCCTTCACCCCTGCCTCCCGGTCGCGGGTCCCACTCAGGACCCAGAGCAGAGTCCTAGCCCCGCCCCCGCAGGAAGGCCCCGCCCACTCCCCGCCCCGCCCACCTTCCTGCAGGCTGAGGCTCCTGGCGGCGGGCGAGTCCTCGCGCAGGTCGCGGACGAAGATGCCCTCCTTGCCGCCGCCCGCCACGTTGATGCCGCTGACCCCCGTCTGCGCCTCCGTCTCCACGATGATCTCCACCAACTCCGCCCGCCTCAGCTCCTGCGAAGGGCGGCGAGGGGTCGCCATGGGGCGCTAGGGCCGGACCTCGTCCAGAGCCCGCCATCGCTCTTAATTAAACGGGTCCTCGGGGCACGCGCCCCTCGGCGCGGCGCAGGCGGGTCGTGCGGGCCCACCCACGCCAGCATCTCCCCTTTAAGGAAGCGCGGGGGCTGCTCGCTCTTGGGGACCCGCGGACAGGTCCAACGGCTCAGCGCCGGCTGGCCTCGTGGACCCCTAGGTCGGCTGTCGGGGGGTGGGTGGGGGGG